TCGTTAACCGACTCGGTCAACAAAGTCGTGACTTCTCTCAGAAGCCTTATTGCCTTCTGACTTTTGTTCGCCTTCTCTCCATCTTCAGCTTCTTCATGGTCCCTCTTTCTACCTTCCTCCGCCATTTCCATATAAACCAAGACGTCGGACTTGATAATTATGAATATAAATTACAAAAGGCGGGAGTTTTTCCCGTCCCAAGGTTTCTCGTTGCTTTCTTACTGCGATGCCCAGTCAATCAGCAGAACATAATTCAGAGAAGATCGAAAACATAATTTAGCGGGTCATATCGAACAACAGAATGTAAAAATTCGGCGGCAGGGAAGATAAAAGTCGAAAATGAAAAATATAATTTAGACAATCAAAACATAATTCGGCAGCGTCCGAATATAATTTAGAGCTACGTAATAACAAAAATCGTATCACAATTATTCAATTTAAAAGAGCCGAGCATAATTCCATGCAACGCTGGAACATAATTCTGTAGTTCAGCCAAATGAAATATCAAACACCATAACATAATCTGTTTTCTTATTCTGACCCTAATAACGCTTCATACCTTAGAAGCTTGGATTTCAAAAGTGAATTCTCTCATGTCAGTACCCAATGAAATTTGTATAGAGAACAGTATGGATAATACGAAAAGTAATTCTATAATGTAAAGAGTTAAATGAAATTTGTATAGAGAACAGTATGGATAATACGAAAAGTAATTCTATAATGTAAAGAGTTAAATGAAATTTGTATAGAGAACAGTATGGATAATACGAAAAGTAATTCTATAATGTAAAGAGTTAAATGAAATTTGTATAGAGAACAGTATGGATAATACGAAAAGTAATTCTATAATGTAAAGAGTTAAATGAAATTTGTATAGAGAACAGTATGGATAATATGAAAAGTAATTCTATAATGTAAAGAGTTAAATGGCAGTCTTTCTCACCTGTACTGTTACTGCCTACAACAATGGCACCCTCATCGCTGTCACTGTCTTGCTCATCTAAAGTTGGTGACACATTATTTGTACAAAGCCACTCTGTCACTTTCAATGCAGATGTTTCTAAAGCTCCTTTCCTTCTTGGACGCGAGTGTTTAGGCACAGTGAATAAACTTTCGTAAGTTGATGCACATAAAACAGCCTCCCTTGAGCTACTCACACTCGCATGAGCCATTCTTTGCTCTTTCAATGAATGACGCTTAATCAAATTATTAACAGCTTGCAGATTGTGTCCTTGAGGTGTGGATTTCTTGGCTTGCTCAGTTGCCTTTCTTTTATTTACTAATGGGCTCTCAAATTGGTTCAAACGCTCAATCAATGACACATCATCACCACTGCTCCCATTTTCTAAGGCAAAGTTTGTTGCAAATGCATTGCTCTTATTTGTTTTAACCTCTAGTAACTTGCTGGCATCTCTTGCAACTTCAGTCTCCCTTCCTTCTGCCCTAGTTGATAATGTTTTACCTTTTCTTGATTTTGTGTTAGTTTCTTTTTCTTTCCCACCTGTGTCATGAAAAGTAAAAAATTAGAATCAACAGCAACATTGCAGTTCCTTGAGCAAGGTCTAAATGATATTTTTTGCCATAAGCGGCTGCGGATGGTACAATAAGCAGCTTTGCCTTAAGGTGAAACTCAAACAAAAGAGCTTGCTTGGAGGATAAACAGACAGTCTGAAGTCTTACAAGTGTGGTAGACAGCTGGTAATCTGCTTTTAATGAAACCCTTGATTGAGGCTTGAGCTTACTGTGTATTTTTCAAAAGTAAAATCTATGAATAAAGGGGATAAGTTTCTAAAGAAGCTGTGGTGCTGCATCGGTAGGGGTAACAAGGTAACTTGGTTTTATCAACTGAGTTGATAATGTAAATTAGCCACTGTAAAGAGTTTAAAAGCTGACAATTGGAGCGTTAGCCCTTCGTCAGAGTCAATGTAGAAGTTGTGGGTTGTGTGTGTGTGTTTATATGCATAAAGTGGAACTAAGCCATTGGCGGGAATATGGTGACCAGGAAGCAAGATTAAATAAGTAGAATGAAAAGTGTTTGTTGATACCTATGGGATTAAGAGTGCCAATTTGAAAGATAAACTTTTGTTCAAGAGTTTTGAGGCTTTCCCAGCTACCTAAATGTAAGGAAAGGCTGTAGACTGCCATATACTGCTTAGAATGATTAGGTAGCTTAAAGTGTCTAGCAACTGGTTCTGATGCATCCTTGTCATTCCTTTCTATGTCATCTTCCTGTTTTGCCAATGTATATCTTTTACAATAAATGCAAGTTATGCAACAGATGACACTGGCGGAGGTGCAAGGCAAGTGATCAGTAATCTTAATGGATCATTTGAGTCCTGATATTTTCTCAGCATTGTGAATGAAAGGACAAGTTTTGCACCGTATGCAAGCGCATTTTAAAGTTGGTCATTAGTTTGAAGTGAACTTCTGACCAAAAAGTCGCCTTGGTTTTTTGTTTCATCAGACTGTTGCTCCGCCATCATTTTGCAGTTATCAAACTTAAATTTCCCTCTGAACAATCAGCTTCAATCATTTCCTTTTTTGATTGACACTTCTGGTTACAGATCCTCTACCAGTGTATATCTAAAACTTGCTACATGTACTCATACACTGTAGTTGTCACGATCTTTACTCTCGTACATCGTATTTCGGTCTTTTGCATGAAGCAGTTGCCACCATGAAGCAGTTCTTTTTAACATTTGAATAATCTAAAACAAGTTATTTTTGCATGTTGTTCATACATTATATGAGATAGAGTAAACAAATATCAAGGCAGAATTAGATCGCTTGCTGGGCAACAAATTCCAGAAGCAAATCTGCAATCATTTAAGGACTTGATGGAACACCTCACAACTTGGTTGTTGTTGACTTCAAAAACTCCATTCAGTACTTGCTCATTTGAATTTTGAGTTACACTGTAGCTCTTGGCAATCAGAAATACTATTTGGGCTGGTGGAAATTTTCAGAAATATACTAGGGTACACATTGATTGTTTGTTTTGCAAGTTTGGTGGCTGCTAAAATAGCCACTTCTGCTCATATTCATTAGCTTAGATTTCTTACTGTTGACTGGCATTAAACGCTCTTCAACAAGGGACCCTTTAACCTGTTGGTTGGTCGCCAACAGCAATATTTGTGTTAGCAAATAAAATAATGTCTTTTTACATTATAAAACTTAGCTGTGCATTGAACTGCAATGAAAATTACTATTTCAAAAGCTACTCATGTCCAATATACCTTCTCCCAATCAAATTCCAGGCTACCGAGCTGTGAATGACCCAAAGATTTCCTGTTGTTTCATGTAAAATTCTTTTGAAAATATAACAGGAATGAAAAACATGTCAACTGGACATTAACTTGGTTTTATCAACTGGGTTGATAATGTAAGAACTGATAATTTGATCTGATGAAGGGCTGACACTCCTACCATCAGCTTTTAAACTCTTTACAGTGGCCAATTTACATTATTAACTCAGTTGATGAAACCAAATTACCTTGTTACCCCCACCAATGCAGCACCACAGTTTCTTTAGAGACTATCCTCCTTTATGGTTACACAATACCAGAGTTAGGTCAAAGGAAGCCACTGGTTTCACCCATAACATGTTTCACCCAGACCTATACTCTTCTTGAGAAAGTAAGTGCTGCAGATACAACCAAAATCATAGTCATACTTTTTTTTTAATTTCGTGCTTGAATTACCTCTCCAATCCCCACTTGATTCTCAGTGAAAGAAACAACTTGCTCGCTTCAACATTTTTATGGTGTCAGGAAAAGTCACATTATTAATGGCATCACAAAATGTTCGTTCTGGGCATACGCATGTTTGGGTTAACGTTTTTCAAGACTGTAGGCCTACTTCAGGGTGGAACCATTTTCTATGTTTCACGTGCAAGTGTTTTCAAATTTTAATGACAAATGAAAGGGTGAGATAATTTCCTTTTACTTAGAACTTTCATACCGCACGTCTTGTCGGAGTCAGAAAAATTAACACTATTCCCCCCCGTGCATACTCATGCTCTAGTGCTAACTAGTTTTAATTACTTCTTCTACTTCTGGGCGAAACCATTCTCATTCTGGGCGAAACGATGTGGGCGAAACTCGCTGTGAGCGAGACTCGCTATATTCAGATCAAACATAAGTCTAAGTCCGTAATATATGACGTAAACACTATTAAAGCTAAACCTGAATATGAGAGTGATCTTCGCTGTATAAAACACTACTTAAGCAGTAGTGAAAACACTACTGAAAGTAAAACTTAACTTGGAAACGATCGTACCATGCAAAAGACGAATCCAAACAATACAAAATAACCCATATGAAAAATGGAAAAAAAAACCCAGCTGATTTACAAGTACATCACAGCAACAGAGATCCATTAAATGTACCAGTGGAAATAAATCCATAGAAAGGAATCTTTACTTACCCAAAAGGTCATCTGTCCACTCTTCTCCACCACAAACAATCATGAGTTTAGTTTGATCTTCAAGGAAGCTGAAATATTCTTCGTTGTCGATCTCCGTTCCATCACTGTTAAGACAAACCCGGCAGTTTGCTGCTACCGACCCAAATTTTAAACTTGCGATTTCTTTAACTTCTCTCAGGCTTTCTGCGACGATTCCTAGAGCTTTTGTTCGCGCTGAGTTGCAAATCTTAAACGGCTTGCGCCGCCTTACTTCCATAGCACAAACCGTTGCCGTGGTCAATTCTTCCACCATGTTTTACTGCTGAGGAACCAAGCCTTAATGCTCTCTTCAGTATCGAATTTCAAACTTGTACCCAAGATCTTCTCGGTGCTCAGTTGCATGGCCGGCTTTTTGGAGTGAAGGAGTAATGCTAACAATCTGATAAACATTAGACAGAAAAACATGACATAAAAAACTATAGTCTCTCGAGTAACAAAATTTATTGTATCTCTCAATTAGAACATGCGCTACTGATTGGTCAATTTAACGGGCCGTATCTTACTGCAAGCTCCACCAGATTCAAAAGTTTGTTCGAAACCTTTCCCTCTATGAACGGCAGAGCTATAATAAATACCTGGCCCCAGTTGTTCGAAGGCCCCGGTGGATAGCACAGTACGTTTTGCCATCACTTATCCGGTGGATAGTGATTTATCCGTTGGGTAGCCCAGGGGCACGTTTCTCGGAGGTCCCGGTAACTTAACGGAGGCCGTAAAGCTGTTATGTTTTCTTTTAAGATGGGGATTTCAAAAGTTTTGAAAATGATGCAATAAAACTATCAGCTAAAGAAACAAAAAGGACTTGTTTTGGGTGCCAGAGCCTGCTTCCCTATCCTTTAAATTTTGATTATAAAACATGCGTGGCTTCTGGCCTGATAAGTTACCGGGACTTTCCGGAAACGGGCCCCTTGTCCCCTTTTCTCGATCCGTACTGTAAGTTGCGGAACCTAGTTTCCGCTCGGATAAGTACGGACCTCTAACTCGGTTTGCAAGAGGTATGGAATACGGTGCAATAAAATATGAAATACCGTAAATCTAGTTTTTTTTTTCGGGCAACGCGAAGGGGCAGCTTTTGGGCTTCACCATTTGAGTGAGTTTTCGAAATCCGCTTATTCACCAAATCCGTCGATCTGCGAGCCCATTCACCCTCTCATTGATAAAAGCCCTTTATTCCGGATTGGGACGATGCCTTTTTCACCTTTTTGCATCTTGGGTTTTGACCTAATTTTAAAAGTGTTAAGGGCGTTTGCTAACGGCTCCTAGAACTTCATTGGTACTGCTTCAACATTTCTCGTACGCCAAATGAAGTCAAAACAAGTCTTCACGATCTTCTCACAATTCATTTTTGTTCTCGCTTTTGTCTGTCTTACAGGTAGATTCTTCTGTAGACAGGTTTTATGGAATTGCGCAATCCTGCGCTATTTCAAATCAAGAAGCGAAAATACGAGACATATAAGTCCAAGCTAAGTTTCCGATTACACTTACTTCGTAATCTACACTCTGACTGAGCTTAGCTTCTCAGTCAAAGAAACCTGCCGCAATCATGTCCCTGAGAAACTGTTGCCGAAGACGGCCATGTTGAAATGAGGAATATCTGAGAATGTTATGAAATTTATGTAAGCAGCTTTTAACGAATAAAAAAAATTGAAAATAATTAACTGCACGCAACAGATTTAGTACTGATTAAATCCACGCTATCACCAAAGTGTGCAAGTTTTGAGGGACAAACACTTTTTCGTGATAGATCATCAGGAAGATGCAGTAAATTTGGAGTTCAGTCGACAAAGGAGCCTGGATTGAAAAAATTTCAAAAAAACATTAAAATATGTTCTCGAGGATTCGAACCTGGAACCTTTTGACATTCTTGTATCAAAGTGTTTACTAAGATCAAATGAAACATGTTTCCTGCATACTGTTAAGGTAAACAAATTTTGAGGGAAATCCTTTGATGTCTATCGTAAGTACAAAGAAATGTCTGAGCCCCATACGGACAAAGGAGCACTAAATGAATAAGAGAGAAAAAAAAAAGCCAAAACTTGTCAACTCGGCGATAGTCCTTGCAAGTTCTCTGTCAGTGATCAGACAAGAATATAATCCATGTGATGTTTTAAATTCACTCAATCATTTTTAACAAAAACCCTCGAAGAATGTTTGATTGAGAAGGATCAGATTGATAACTGACAAACTTATTGAAAAGCAAAGTCCATAGCACAAACAGAATGGGCCGAGATGGCTGCTTGATAGTCAAGTTTAGCCCCCCAATAGCATAGTTTGTATGGAGAGACTGGCACAAAATCGGAAACCATTCGCCAATTCTTGATTTTACAGTTCCAATTTTTATTACGCATGTCCAGAAAGCAGAACAGTTTATTATTGTTTTGCCGCCTGTTTATGAATAAATCAACTTCTCTGCAAAATTATTCTGATTTATTATTAGTTCAAATCCTTAAAGATTTTCTCGCATTCATATGTGTGTCGGGTTTCTGAGGCTCAAATCAACTACTATTCTTATTTTGTTTCCATTTTTTTAGTCGACCTACCGAGAATTTGCGGTACATCTTTCATTTAAAATGATACAGACCCATGTCGGTTTTCCGCTATAAAGGAGTAAATGCTTTTAAATGCATACATCATCAATAGCGAACCTGCTGGGCAATCGTTCAAATGGGTTTTGCAGCCCTTCAGGGAAAGATAGAGATTCATTGTAAACCCATCAAATCTTGGTTATATCTTATCACCAAGTTGAAATAAACAACTGCACACAAACAACATTGATATCGGCTTGCCTGATTTAAACTGTGTTGCGTTTCAGATAAGTCCTTTATTATTATTTAAAAGATGTTGTATAGTATTCTCACTTAAAAGAAGTAGCTAACTGTCTTTTTTCTGCGTGCCAGGTTAACAACTTCATTTCACGTCGGGGATCCGTATGGGTTCTCGGAAGGCGTTACGCTTCTCCAGGGAAAACATCCTCGAAAATCGGTAATGTTTTCATCACGTTATGTCAGAGTTAAGGTTAATATCTGGCGTGATGTTAATTTTTTTTTTTTTTTTTTTTTTAAGGACTGTTTAAACCATTTAGCAGAAAAATTAGGGTCGGCAATTCCATCTACGAGCTATATCAATGACGGTCCTTCCTAAAATGTTACTTGTCCAACGCTACTTCGTATGACAAAAGGGTAAAAATGTATTTTACGGCCACCCACAAGGAAAAGATGGTCTTCTCTTGCAAATGTGCGTTTTTAGAGTGTCTTTCATTCTAATGAGAATTTTCGGGTTTTTGGTGTTAATCTTAATAGACAAACCAGCGCAAATTATCGAACACCAATTTTAACTGACTTCTAGCTATTTTTGGTCGCATCCACCTATGTATCCTTACAAAAATAAAGGTTGGCTTTTTTATACATCTCAGAAGTCGGCTCTTAATGAGGTTAGCCTTACAGAAGCCGATACGCGGCGAGTGTTGAAGTGTATTAGGCACAAATTGCAATTCTGGTCAATGCCACGAAAACAAGGTAATTCAAGCAGGAAATGGCGGATTGAGAAACCTGCAAAGTTATCCTAACAATGGCCACTTCCCGCGGACATGCAACTCATCAGAGACAGCTCGCCATTGGACACTTCAATGTAATCTATTATCGAATTTCCTCTTTACGTCAAATAATGAATCAATCAATACTGCATGGTATAAATAGTGGCATCATCTTTCCATGTAACTTACATACCGTAGTTCAATCGAACGAAGGATTGAGCTTGATGCCCGACTTTAAGGCAGTTGTTCTCGCTATATGTCATTATGTGGTGGCTTCTATGGCTTGCTAATTTGATTGTAGTTTCGTGCAGCGATAAATCTTGCAAGGAAGCTTCCTATCAGTGCGAACGTGACTTGGAAGGATGCGGGTCGGCACTCAACAAAATTTTTCACAGAGCAGAGTGTCTTCATGCGTTAGGTCTCAAGGACCATGAAACGGTCGGGATCCAAATACGTAGACCGATGGCTAAGACCTGTCCACTGACCTGTGTGAGTGCGATCAACAACCTAACTGCTACGAATGGAGGTAAAGCGATGGAAACATGTGACTGTGAGAGAGACTCGACGTGTCTAACAGTGAAGGCACGCTTGAAGCGATGCGTACTCAGTCGAACTACAAATTACACTATGTTTAGTTGCACTCAGGCTAGAAAACGATGTAATAACGACAAGGATTGTAAACGAATACAAGAGAACTTCCTGAGGCGATGTACAAAGCTTATTTCAGGTGTGGGATGCACAAAGGATTGTTTAGACAGCCAAGACGAATTGCTGAATTCAGATCTGGGCAAAGCTCTGAACGAGTGCGAGTGTGATGGGTTCGAGGAGCCGTATTGCCGTGGTATTCGGGCAAACTACGAGGAACTGTGCGTAGGACCTAGAGGGCCTCGCAATTCGGATGCTAGTCCTACCCCTGCTCCAACAGAGTATATGGTACAGAAATTTATACATTCTGGACAAAGTCACTTAGCCAATACACAATTTGAGCTTCCTGTATGGAGTCTGTATGCAGCAATCACGGCATACATGTTCTTCAATCTATAACCGTATTGTTTACTTTCACGGCGACAATTTGCTTCTTATAAAACAGACTTTGGACAGAAGCTGTTCAATAGGAAACTGGAAATTTGTCCGTCAGCTTTCATTGCTTCATTCGTGTTGTTTTTATAAATGTTGTAACTGCTCCAATTGTTATCCAGTTGTGCCATGCGTTTTCAATCGCCGTTCACAGCACTGTCAACAGCGCGTTCATGCTGACAAAAAAATCCTTTCGGAAGAATTGTACAAAGCTATTCATTTTGTTCAAATATCTTTTGGATTATTGCTAGGGTTGTTGATAATTTTAAAGTTCAATCAAGCTTATCAAGTGTGTATATAGCATTTTGGAATTTAGATTATATTTTGGTTAAGTTTACCATGAAGTCTCCCGGCGTAACGCTGGGCGACATACGCGGCGTTATGAGAAGAAAACAGAAGAGATTTGATTAGCGTAGCGATTTGAGTTCATCTTACTTAAGGACGTTTGGACGAGATAGCATCAATTGTTACCAGTCAATTGTGATCAATGCGTTCTTTGCGTAATCCTTACACGACAACTATTTGACAAACTCGGTTTGTTGTGTCTTTTCGACATGAATTGTACGCTTTAAGCAAACCATTAAGGAATGCTTGAAATAACGCCTTTATTGTTATAATCTCGAGGTCGTCTAGGCTATTCTCCGCCATGAGTAAGGTCATTCTAGATAGGCATTTATATCGGCTAATCGAGCACTAGAGAGTTTCATATCGTGGATTAGCATGCGATAATACCCGTAGATATTTCCCTGTATTTACTCACCGTTTTTCACGGTTATGTGAAAGAAAAATCCTTTAGAAATGACGAAGCCGTTTCTCCCATTGCAATCAAACTGAAGTGTCCCGAGAGCAAAAGAAATTCTGCAAACGATTTTAATTTGAATTAATTCAAATTACATTGTATTTCGAGATATTTAATGTACTGAAATAAAAAGGAATAATCTATGTGAGCTCACATGCCCTTAAAAATAAACGTTATATCCTACGGAAATCAAATGCGAAATTTTGCTCTGTTCGAGGAAATAAGCATGCTACTAAAAAAATATATTAGTAATTATAGCAATAAAAATCATATTTCGATGCTGGGAATTATTTGCGAAACACAATTTCTCGATTCCCCATTTTTTTTTACAACCTTTCCTCAAAAGTTTCCAACAAAGCTCTGATCTCGTTGTAACCAATGATTGAACGATAGCGGACCTGTTACTTCACCTCGGATAGTTCTTGTTATGTTAGAAAGGTTTATTACTCGTTTAAGATAATCGTAAACACAGACAGCGCCAACCTTAGATTAGTGATTGGGTGAGCTGACTGTGCGAGGAACGCGTTCTGACATAAGAGATGCGCAGTTAAAACTCTACTGATATATTTCAATCGCACATGAAAACGAAAGACATGAAGAAAAGTACATGGACAGAAAATCATATTTCGTTGATTTTACAAATGATGCACTCAAGTGTTGATGAAACAATAATCATTTCCTGATCTCCCATATAGAATTAATCCACTGAACTGGAAATTGTACAAGACTCTATCGACCCCCTGGCTATAATTTCCTCATTGATGTAGCATGCCCTGCTTAGTCTTTAAACCTTCCCGGTTGCAAACCTTCCGTTAAATGGCTTGCTCGCCCCCTTCAGGAAAATTCATTACTTTAAGTACTGAAATGACTTCATACTGAGAAAACGGCCTGTAAAAATTGAAAAAGTAAACAATCAAATCAACTAAAAAACAAGAAAATCCAATCCTGACAAACTAAACTTATGGTAGCAATGATGGGGTGGTTCACAGGTTCTACCGCGGAGCGCTAACGTTCGAGCTTGAATTTAATGCAATCTCACAAGCTGAGAGCTTTCACTAAAATACTAATATTAGGCGTAATAATGGTAATGTGTCCCTTTCACTTCGCACCAGTTTTAGATTTCCACCTTTTAAAAGTTTTAGGTTTCCGATAATTGTCTCCTTTGGTGCAAAAGTAGAGCACGTCTCGTACAGCTAGAACTGATGTGAATCATGGGTGAGAAAAAACGTTCTGTTTTATTTTTTCAAGGTTATTTTTACTAACACGACCAGACACGACAAAAGAAAAAAAACAGTTATCTAGATAGATTCCAAGACTGACTGATGATAGACTACAAGACGTGTCGCAAATAAAAAATAGCATTTATCCGGCCGACGAAGTCAACAAACTTTATTAGTTTTTAAAAATCCAGATGTCTGGGGAATGGTTGTCAGTTGCTCTGGTTTCATCAGACGCACCGACTTCTGACTCTTAAGTTCTAGAATCCTCAAAGCGTAATAGTGAAGATTTATAATGCGAGGAAAGAAATTACGTGCATTTTCTAGTGTCGAGTTTCCCACGATGCCTTCAGCGTCTGCTCGAATCACGAAAGCCAATTGATCCGAAAGTGAAGTCCAAGTTTGGAAAATAATGGTGTGCTGTGATACTATGTACGATACCTCGCATTTGTTTGAGAGTATACAAACCATAGAGATAAAGATTTGTGCTATCTTGCGGATCGCTTACAGCACTGAACGACGCAAGCTACAGACCACGAGACAAGAATTTCCGCCCCGCCATATTCAATTACAACCCATTTTTCATTCAAGGTTGTTTGAACATAAGGTCAGTGGTGTCTAATTTGGTGAAAATTTGTTTCCTTATGATCATGCAGCGAATTGACGATCGCCAAACGTTGCCAACACTCCTTCGATCTAACCACCACAAAACTGCTGCCCTCTACATTCAGTAATGAATGGTTTTCCTAATCGGTCCTTGAAATGTCCATAACTGGCTCTGTAGAGTATCAGTCTATTTTTCCCAACATTATTGCTTTTGGCTTCCGTTCTAAATGATAACCTCAAACGTGGATATGTCATCAAGCTCTTTCCATTACAAATAATTCCTTTAGTATCGCAAACTATGCCCCCAGGGAGGCTGTCCCTCGATCGAAGAATAACGGGAATTAACGCCCTTTTCAGGTGATTTCCTCATCCTTAAACCTTTATTTTTATGAAAGTATGTAACTTCAATCATAGCACCGTTGTTATTAGAGAAAAATGCAGTCACGGTGCCTTGACAGACAAAATGACATATGGACTATATTATGAAGTGTTTGTGAAATTGAAGAACAATTCGCACTTAAAGAAAACCCAGCCCTATAGTTGTTGGCACAATATATGATTTGAACTAAAATAGTTTTAAAATCCAATTATCTCTTTTCTTGTTCTCCGATACTGCTTCGTCGTGGTTATGTAGAAGAAAGGGACATGTTCGAGTTCGATTGTTTCAATGGTTTATAAGCTTATTTTCACAGAGGGAATCGCTGATTTGGCCACATCTATGGACAAATATAACTAACAGTTCCGAAGACACGTGCTTTTTGGCATCCGGTATATTTCAACATGGTATTGCGGCAAAGCTTTTATAATCCTACAGGTGTACTCTGCGCCAGAGTAGTGCCTTGAAGTTCCGCCGAATAAAAATATAAATACTTCAAGACCTTTTTATTTAGTAACATGCTTGTCCGGCGTGCGAAAAGGAGGGAGAAGGGAAAAATTCATTTCAGTGCGAGGAGCTAGGAGCGATGCGTATGAATTCAAAATTGCCCCTTTTCCATCTCATTGTTTGTAGAAGATGCAGGTTAATCTCGGAGACAAAAGAAACCCAGTAAGGTTTTCAGTAGCTTAGCAACAAAACAGTAAATGGAGTTTCTTTCATTATTAATTTTTGTCAATAAAACTTTCAGGTATCGCTGTTTTTGAACCACCAAAAGGGGATTTTCCGGGTTTAAGAGGAAAAAGAAATGCATGTATCAACATGTTTCATGCCACAGTTGTTAAGAATGTTAATTTCAAAACTTACATTAATTGTTGTTAGGTGCGACTTGTTCAACTAAAAGGGCACTGAATGTTACGAGTGCTTAAGAGACGTTATCCAGCATTTCGCGAAAGATATTGAAGTTTGATAAAATGAAACTGATAAGGAACGAGTCACGCATGAAGTTCACCGAAAACAGTAAAACTTGAACCCCTCACCTTCTTCTTTCAACCCTTTGGGCGTTAAAAGGATGTATTTACGTTAGCAGTGAACAAGAGTTCTTTAATTGTCTTTCTTTTCAAGGTTGATGCGAAGATTTTAGGAAAAAAATCGTGAAATCAGAGTTCTGTTTTGCTCATTACATATAATGTAAACCTCATGATTAAACTCATCCTCAATAAACGGTTTTCCTGTGAAGTCAATGTATTTAGAGAGCAGTTCAAATCACCTTTACTCTCTTCGCTGAGTGCTCCTGTCAGATTAATAAAAAGACTTTTAAATGGAGGTTACAGGTGTTTAGACGCGAAGTTTATAAAACATCTCTAAATTATATTGTAAATTGTTGTGAGTGATTCCATTCAAGCATTGGGCATTAAAACGAAACTGCTGTCCTCATAATACTCTTTGCAGGCCCCCTATCCACGACCTCTTAAATGCAGCCTGCTTCCATCGACATCACTGACAAACGTTTAGGTATTTTACATGCTATTTACCGAGAGAGGCATAAAACAAAGGCCTATACTGGCACTTAATGGGGTATTCCCTCTTCTAATAAACTGGAGAGTTATGCGTGCCAGAGAGTTGATGAATCGAAGTAATGCGGCAATCAGACAGCCAAGCCAATTAGCATGTTGCTCTTTCTGCACGCAACTGACTTTGGTTAACTGTTTTGAAACGTTTTTTTTAATCAGCTTAACTCAACTTTTAAACATGTTAAATTTTGATATGGGATAGCGTGGTTTCGTCATTAAAAATCTAATTCGACGATGTAAAAATCACATTTAGAAGGCGTCCAAATGGCTTGTAGATGTTAATAGATCACTCAATCATGGGTGTCAGCACGAGTTACCAACGTGCTGCGGTTTGTTTACGTTACGTTTTCCTGCCATTAAGTTTCTTCCACTTTACATTTCTGTTTTCTGTGAGAAAATGCCAGGAACGAATTACTTTTTTTTTTTTTTTGCTCTTTCCTATTCCGTTTAAACAAATTTGATATATGATTCCATTGCCACTCGCATGACATCTCTAACTGAAGATTTATGGCTCCATGCTATTACTAATCACTGCACTCCCCTGAGTGATACCCTGAGGGTTACTTTATAGCTAAGACTGCAATAATTATAATCACTTGCTAGTCCTGAAACAACAACCACTAATTTAGGTGTATCTGTGACTTCAGACCCAAGACTTTCTCGCAGGAACTCGTCACTACAACAAGAACGTCGAACTTAGACAAATAAGCTGCAGTTCTGATAAGAAATTCTTTGTGTAAATTCCTTTTCCCAAGCTTTTCAATCATCGGCACAGTTCAGAGGTAATTACTTATCTACAATAAACAAATATAATCGATAGTTCCAACGTCAGCTCGATGACAGTTAAGGCTGAAGATTTATGCACTTTTAATATTGATCTATACAAAGATAATTTATTTCCATAAAATTATTTAAGCGTTTGGAATGCAATATTCGGCCGTATCTACACACCCAAATCTTTAAGAGCTTCAAACTTCAAACACTAGTCTTGGATGCTGGGTTATCAGACCCGAAGCTTATCAGTATTGACTCGTGCGAAAGTCATTTCAACAACAATGTCTGACTTTGAAGTACATGTTGGACCCTGGCCATGCGAAAACTGAAGTACTGTCTATAAATCCAGAAACAATGAGTAAATGAAATACAGAGAGGAGGAACAAACACAACAAAACAAGGAGAACAGACAATAATAACTAAGGGTTGTAATTAAATAATAATAATAATAATAATAGTAATAATAATCATTATTATTATTATTATTATTATAAGTATTTTAATGTGATTTCTCAGAAGACATTTTAATGTATTAGTTTCTACAATTAGTTTTTTTGTTTCAATTTTCTTATTTCCTGTTAGCCTTTAGGTTACGCAACGGCGCCCTACTGTGCCTTAGTTATCGTTTAGCACACATAAGTTCACACTGCTACAGTGATAATAAAATTGGATTTGTTTCCAGCTATTTCCATTGATGTATTTTAATGAAAGTAATTAATAATTTTAAAAAGATTTCCTCTTCGCCGTTTCAGAACAGCAGTCTTATTTCCATGGGAGGATATAACAAAACTAAATAGTCCTGTCGAACAATGAGGTGAGCGAAGGTCTGGTGCCTTTGATCTAACTAGAGACGAAAAGTTGTTTTGATTTCCCAGTTAAAGATAAATAAAAAATAGACTTTTTGCATGTTTGTGAAAAAGGAAAAAAGTGGTGAAGTATCTTCTTAACTGGACGGGTATATGTATGTAAAAACTAGAAAGGTGATCAAAGTTACGATACACCTCTATAAGACAGCCATCATCTAATGCCGTGTTGGTTCAAAAGTTATCAAAGACAAACAAAACAAAACACATACAGCTGAAAACTAAAGGTAGGAAAAGCTCCAACTCAAGAAACGGGGGCGATTTCCGTCCAGTCAAAGACAAGGGATATTAAATAATCCTTGCAAGTGGACAAGGTTGACAAATAAAAGCAGTTTTATCTTAAAAGTCATCTCCGTAATGCGGTTTTCGGGTCAGGTCATGTTTATCTAGGCAAGCAATCAAGTCTGGAATAAAGATGGAAGATTGACGGAAACCCCGATAATTTTGACTGATTAACTTTAAAATGCACCAAAGCCGTGAATACAAAACTGTCACAATAAAGAGGACAATGGAGCTCAAATGTATTTCAAAGCCTGGAATTTGGCGAGCCTCCAGTTTCCGCGAAAGTTCTAGACAGGTCCTTAGTTAGTTTGTTCACTCGTCGGTCAATTTTATAACACTGACAATTGCCGCAGTTGACAAGAGGTTCAAAATACCTTTACTGCAACTCTGAATGGCCATAAGGGAGTCGATTCTCACAGGATTTAGGAGAGGATGGAGAAATTAAGCGGTGAGGAAAAAAAATAAATTCGATAACACGCCGAGCATTGGCAGAAACTCAGTAGTTCCTTAGTGCCTAACGCCATGTCGTACAACAGTCGCAAATATCAACAATCAAGAACAGTTCATGTAATGTGGATTATGGTGAAAGACGAAGAAATTCAGTTCACGTATCTGGCAGATTGTTCCCAACCCCATCAAAACATGGACATTCAAAACATGTTACGTATGAAGTTAGCCTCGAGCACGAACTGTCACAACCCTTGCCAATTGAATTGTAACCAAATTACGGTCCAATCAATGTATACATACATGGCTGGGCGATGGGCCAGTTCTTGGACGATATGTCAAGATCTCGGCTAAAGCTTTCCCCCAGAATGTCTAGAGGTTGGCGGGAATTTTCGGTCGAAATAATCCTGATTTTCTACCTCTCATCACAAAAATCTTCTTCGGGTGAAACCTTTTGGCCTTTGTAGCAGTGTAAATTACAATTATCAGTAGATACTTTTTATCAGTTTTTAACTTGCGGGGCATGCAGTGCATTGATAGCAGATTTAACTGAGAGATCTTAACCTGAGTTAAACAAGATAAAAGCGCAATACAAGAGTCGTCCAAAGACGCCGGCAAAGTCTAGATAATATGAGTGTAACATAGATTGATCTGTTCCTCAATCTGAAAAGTTTGGATCAACGACGGTACTTCGTTCTTTGTCTGATTAGAAGTAGTGAAGAACTTCATGTAGCTACCGGTTTTCGACCTACGATCATATGAACGATCGGTTTGTGAAGAACAATTTATAACAAATGTTACAACAATTAAAGAAAATAAATAGTTATTTGAAAGATCGAGAGAAAAGATACGTGTGAAGGTAAAACAGATTAGCTGTTACTTCCTATTTTGTGATACTTTGATAGACACAAACAACCCTAATGAAGCAGTTGAACCCCAAGAAGTCCTGCTTTTTCTGGCTCCAACTGAGTTAAAATAAACATGAACCGACAGGAAACGAGTGAAAGTATCATTACCCTCAGACTGCACTTCATTTTTGCGTCCAAGAACAATTAAACTCGTTTTCATTTTCGACTAATCGCCTAATCTCCTTTACATGTCGCCAAAAGCAATCCACAAGTTAGTTAACAGAGCGTATTTCGATTGAGTGTCGAAAAACCCAAAGCCCAAGTAAACACAACTGCATCAGCCAATCAGAGGGAAGGAAAATATCACAGGGAGCCAATGAGAACTCAAAGTGAGAACAAGCAAACTGCACTGCGATGAAACGCGGGAAAACGCGACTGTCAAAGTCGTGATGGTTTCAGTAGTTTTAATCTGATTGGTCGCAGGGATGGCGCGATATTTCTGAACCAATCAGAAAACGAAGTCAAGCAAAATGAAAAATCCTGGGTTACTTTCGATATTCAACTGAAAATCGCCCTTATGCAAGACACAGGAGGCTTCCAACTCGAAGCACGAGCTGTTCACCGCGAATGAGGCAATAGCCATTATCGCATTTGTGTCTGCAATGCAAAGGGTCCGTGAAGTTACAGTTTCAGGACGAGGCTATAGGGTCAACGTTTCTCGAGAAACACCAGAAACACTCCATGTCTGACCATATAACTCTGGAATCTGCGTTTTTTCTGCCGAGGAAAAGGTTAAAATTTTTAGTGGTAATTGTCCTGGCATCACGAAAGGAAAATTGAAAGAATGGCTGTCATTTCAGGAAGGAACGGCAAAATTTTGTCGCGTTTGTTCATGACTACGGTTGTTGTTCCTTTGTCGGCCTTTTTGAGGTTTAACTCAGAGTCCGTTTCAAGGCCCTCCGCGCCTTGCGTTCGGCCGGAAGCAAAGTATCTTTTGGCTTTGTAATTTCTATTTCTGAAAGGTCACTTTTAGCCTCTCCTAAATAGCTTTCAAGGGCTACTTATTTTTGTATTGGTGGTATCCATGTAGATTTGACGTGACAGGCATGGGTTTTTTTGTCCTCCCCTCGGAATATGTAAATCAGATGCATTCTCTTTGCGAACTGATCAAAGTCACACAATAGTTGGTCTAATTTGTTTTTGTTTTGTAGCGGGTGTTGGAATGAATTTAAGCCCTCTTGCCAGTAAATTAATCTGGTCGTTTGTAAGTTCTTTATTTGAGAGGTTTTTATGTCCGTTTTGTTCGCCTCTAGTTTGATAGTTGAACGTGTTTGGCAAGACTGCGGTTTCGATCCTAATCTTGTGGATCTCGTCACTTGCCAATTCACTGAATAGACCGTTGCACCCGTACGCAATACAATGTCTAACTATGACGAGAACACGCTGTATCCTTAAGAAAATGAATAAAGATGCCTCCAAACATAGCCGTTTGCTTCGATTTTACTTGAAAGTTTTACCTGTGTGACCCGATAGCCTCGTTTCGAAACTTCAAAGTCCGCTGAGCTCTCGTACAGTGGGCGTAAATGCAATAAGGGCTATTGTATTTCCGTGCTCGACTCAGAACTTTACATTTTCCATTCCTATGTTTTTCTCATTGATAAACCAGATTGAAAACGATATTACGGACGCCCTTCTAAGGGTTCCTGGATGGGAAACTTTGGAGACTGTACGTTGTACAGAAATAATCACTGTGTTCCTTATTTTTTCCGAACATTTTTTTTATTCCTATTGTACACCTGCTGCCATTGGGAATTTTGAGATTCTCTTTGTTTAAGCTACAGTCAATATGTTACATAATAAATTTTAAGTCTGGTCAACATTAAGTTTTTTTTGTTTTAGCTAGTTCGTTTCTTTCTATTTATCTTACTTGATAGTAAGTCTTATGCGTCCATGTCTGAATAAAACAACTGTGCATTGAAAAATCTAGCAGCGAAAAACAAATTGAAAGATAACATCACTTTATCTTGAAGTTCGATCATCAAGAATCTCTCAAACAAACTATGTGTTTCAAAGATCTTTCAATGATAGAGAAACACTGTCACCAATGGTCAATGGTCACTCCTTGTTTCAAAATCATTAATCACTTCACTAGTGGAAATAACACTTGAAGCGAATTTCAAAGTGCTTGGGCTCCAGCAGCGTTTCAAGTTTAGAATTTAGACACAAAAGTCTTTGATTTGTGCGCATTTCCGTAACCTTGATTTCAACATCCTGTTACACAGACCCTACTTCCGCCGGCTCGCTATCCATTACCACAAAGTTAAGCTTCTCATGTTGAGCAAGAGAAATCCAAAGCATCACAATCGAGCACTCTCTTCCGGTTTCCATGGGAAAACCTGAGTTGGCTCTCACTGCAGTACACACCCTACAGAGAGAAAAACAAAAAAAATAAACAAATAAAAACTAAGTACACAGACTCTCGTATGAATCCCATACATTACTTGATAGGGAAGCCTAACGCACTTCTCTCACGCAGGTATCACCTCGTCAGAGTGCCGATGCAAACTCCCATTTTATTCGAAGAAGTTTGGTTTGGCTAGCCGCCCATATCATAAAAATGTAGAGCATTAGTTCTGTGTTTTATTGGTCTGTGCTGTTCTGTCGCATTACTCGTAGCACCAGTGTCACTAAGCCGCGAATCTCTACATTCTCCAGTGTGCTAGCACTCCTGTTCCATTACAGTTTATCCCTTGGCAAGATACAGCGCTTGTTTGACTTCATGAATGATTTCCGCTCTGAGTAAAATTCTAAACATCGTCTGGTACTCTTTACTGATTAAAATTGAATAAATTATTTTGCCGGTTTTATCTTCTCGCGTCCTTCTTTCCCCTCCCCTCTCCCCCCAAACTCCGTTATCTTCTCGCGTCCTTCTCTCCCCTCCCCTCTCCCCCTGTTACTTTCGTCTATCATTCCTCCCCCTTAGAAGAAAATTAATTTTTCAGCTTGATTTGAGAATCTAAAATGGCAGCTATGCATCTCGCGAAACCATGAGGAAAAAAAAGACCTTACGACGCATTTGGGTTAATTGTTCTAATGCTGCGACTTAGGATCTTAAAAAATTTCTCTTAGTAACAATTCATCCTGTTCTTAAATTAGGCGTAAAGACAGGATGTAGATTATTTCCCAATTAATTCTTCATGACTAAGTATCTTATCAAAATCAATTTCGAGGTCATGTAAAAAATTTCATATGTACTGATAGATTTTGTGATACTGCTTGTGAATTTAACACATTTTAAGACTTTAACAATCCAGGATCAGTTCTTATAGTCAATCACTTTAATCGCTTTGTTGGTCACTGTAGTGCATTTTGCGGGCTAAAATAGAGATCCGAGCGGCTAAAATGTAGTTTAGTCCGCTCGCACGCTCGTGTGATCGTTCAGACTGTTTTGTTGTCATTTTTTCAGTTTTTATTTTCTCAATACCCTCTAAAGTGATAAAAGTAGTTATAGAATTTATGTTCTTTTGCATAAATATGTTATGGGCTCTTCTAAGAGTCATTTTAACCCTCGCCTAGTGACCCGGACTTTATGACGTTCCTAGTACTCTTATGTAAAAGCACATAAAAAATTATGTATGTAGATTATTTCCCAATTTTAATTCTACATGACTACGTATCTTATCAAAATCAATTTTGAGCTTATGTACTAGGTTTTTGAAAAAACGAAGTCGAACAATGACATTTCCACCCAGCGAGGATTAATCCAACGCCTTTCATTCTAAAGTTAAATTTTTTCCTTATAGTTTTTTCGGCAAAGCTTGGATAATAGGAATAATTTTCCTAACTTGATTATAAGCAGAAAATATTGGCTAATTCAACTATTAACGGAAATTTAATCAAAACAGTAGAGCGGCTTACGAACGCCCTTTCGCCGGTCCGGTAAGAATCATCTTATTTCCTAGGCATGTCAAATTATTGCTTTATTTAGATATAACTAGTGACCTTCTGAATTTTATCGTCTGGGATATGACCTCATAAAACAAAAAAATCTTCTTATAATAACTAAGCCGGAATAACCTGCTATTTTTATCGCTTCTGCTTTGCAGCTTCGAGCATGGGTCGGAACGGAAAAAAAAATTATAACCGCCCTTGGATCTGTTATGTCGTGTCTTGGTTTAGGGATTAAATTAAGAACTCTTTAATCTGGTGTTAAGATTATTTTCGCGGATTACAGCGAGGTTTGGTATTGCGTGCGAATTCCAGAACTTTATAAACTTCCATTTTTTCACGTAGTATGTCTGGTCTGCACATCACAAAAAAAGATTGAAAATACCACAAAAACATTCTAAGTTTCCTAATAGGCTTTTGTTAAAGTCATAGATTTTTGCTTACGAAATCTACGATCAGTACAACTGAGACACCTGCCATAAAATCGTCAAAAAACCGCGGTGGTTCTTTCATAGTTTAAATCTCTCTGTACGGGAGAAGCTGTGCGTATATTGGCAAAGTTTTTCGATTCAAACTTTTCAAGTTCTTCTTTGTCCTGACATGCGCACTTTGCTTTGTTCCAACACATTAACAAGACGTTAGACAAAGATCACAGTACTGGAGGTTTCAAAATTGAATTTCCGGAATTACTCAGTAAACCAAACAACGGATGTATTCAGCGTAAAATCTCTGCGCCAAAACAATATAACAATTGTCATCAAGCGAGAGTAGTTCAACTAGCAACTGGCTCCAAATGACCACAAGTACACTCGAAGTTTGTTAATTAGTTTATCTCCTTCAAGGGTGCCATTAAACTAATCCTTGAGTTAGAAGAGATCTTAAGTATTCTCTACATTGCTCTCACCATCGTGCACAATTGTCAAAGTAAAGCTTTGCGTCGAGTGTAAATGCCGAGTGGGATTGAGGAGAGACGAGAACTTTTCTCTCGCTAGGTGAGGGGGTTGCGTGATTCACACGCGAGAACCCACGCTCTGCGTTAAAAAAAAGATTGGTTTCAGATTACAAGTGCAACGTGAAGAGAAAGTAACAAAAAATAGAAGAGACGGAAAAGATCGACGGTCTCAGAACAACAAAACCGATACAAGAACAACAAAAACAAGACAGCACTCATCTTTCTGCAAGTTTTGAATAAGTCGTGCGAGAGAAATTAATCGGGGAAAAAGATAAAAATTTCGCGACAAGGGAACACGGCCGGAAACACCTCTCCCTACCACTGATGGTCAGAACGGCAACACCGTGAAGAACGTCGATTATAAATTGAACCTTGATTTGCTTAGCATTTATTGGCCGCCGATTTACCTTCTTTTTCGCTAACGACTTTCACTCCCGCTCCGTGCTAACGTAGCATTGTTGAGGTGTGATAACGAGAAATATTTTTCACCGGCGGACCATCAGCTATTCTTTTAAAGTAAAACCAAGAAAACTCCACGCAAAGTTCCATTTCAGAAGTCTTCAATCTTCAAGTCATTCCTAGCAGAGTATAATTTATATGTCTGTAGCTAATGGCTGTTAACTGGACTTAGTATGAGTGAAACAGCACCGGGCTGTATCAGTACCTCAGTAAGTACTTCAGTGAATCTCAGGTTATAGATTCAAAACCTGTTGCACTTCGAATAGAACCGCACGGGGGAAAACAAGAACATATACTACCTGTGCTCAAATCTACCCTGGTAAACGATCACGAATAAGTTTGCTCAACATGAAATCATTAGATTTAAATGAGTTTATTTTTAATACATACATTAACGTTGCCCTCTTTCCCATTGCATTTCAAAAACTTATGGGAAGATAGCAGCGGAAAGAAATCCTTGTTTCAAGCGACGCAGATATAACGTTGAATTTTTGTACTCAATCAGAACTCCAAGAGCAGTTTCCATGCCACGCTTTTCAACATTTTGTGGCGAGCAAATTTGGTTGTTGCAGCTCACACACATCTGCAGGACTCGTTCAGAAGTAATTATAAGAAACAGAAGCTGTATCAATCGATCGTGTATCGGACACGAATGGACATGAATATAAACTAAACTGTGAAACAATCAACACGCAAATTCTTCATGAATGTTTCTATCAAGTTCACTAATTAACATTCGCATTTAAGAGATTGAATTTCAGTCGAAAAACCTGAAATTATCATTATGCTCTTTCGCAACCGACAACAACTAGTAATTTTCCGTTTTCTTCACCCTAAAGAACAGAGAAAGAGACTGTGTTGATTATAAAACAACTGCCAAGTAGAAGGACAAACAAAAACGAAACGTAATTTTTGCTACTATTGATCCCACTTCACGGTGCTGTTGCTTTTTTTTTTGTCATAAGTGGGATATAGATGTTTCTCCCCTTGAACTCGAAAGTGTTATCTTTTCTAATAATTAAAACAAAAATTGAGACCAAACAGAGTGGCATCTTTCATCCAGTTGAGCCTAATCTACGTAACCAAAACATCCGTTGTTTTGAAGAGAAGCAAGGCGGATGATTTGTTTATTACCTATTTGGGTATTTCTGCATTGAGTGCCGACATTATATTTCCTTTAATTTCAACATTCTATTTAAAAAAAAACTGTAAAGAACAAATTAAATATAAAAGTTAATCTGGCAGAGTTGTTATCGAGATTTGAGAAGCGCGGCTTCATATATAAAGCCGATCGCTTTACACTCACACGAGGGGTTAAAGTCAAACTCCTTCATCTTAACAATTAGTACTTAAAATTAAATAAAAGTAAATACACGAGAGAACAGGCAGGGGCGTATTGGAATAGAGCTGCAATTTCCTGCTTACTGAGTTAAAAGACATCGAAATCACATAAAATACAACTGAAATGAAAGTATCAACTAGTCGGGAAAGAAATGCCTTTATGAACTATTTTGGGGTTTGCGTGATGTTGCCGACAGGTCGGCTATATTAGACCTGCTGTGCAGGACACCTTTCGTCACTCGACGAATTCTCGCGAGCACATCTAAGGACGAAAACAGCAGTGAGAGAGAGAGAGATAGAGAAAGAAAAAACCATTTTAAGACCATAGATAGGTTCATAACTGCAGATATTGCAAATGTTCAATTCATGACGTGCCTACATGGAATAAATTTATGTTCTCCCAATTTGGCTAGCCTAACATTTGCTTCAAAATGAAGAAAAGTTTGAAATTGTATTTAAACAACAGTTCAAGTGCGCCAGAGGGGAGTACAAAGAAGTAAATTATTCTAAGCCTATCACCAGATCTCTCCAATTAATTTTATTTAAATATTGGATGAATCAATTAATTAAAGGCTTAGACCAGATAACTCCAACTGAGTCGAAGATCTGCTGAAACGTTGCCGAGGAAGTTCAAACCGAAAAAAATAGAACTCCTACAATGAAACATTTTTTTGTTCGGTGCAATTTTTAGACTGCATGTTGAAAATAATCCGGGCCTGTATTGATTTTGGCTTTCCACAGTCTGTGATTGGTCCAGACAACTCGCACCACCCACAAATCAGTTGTAAGACCAAGACCAATCGCAGCTTGGTCGCCTGCGTTTTTCCCGCGCTTCACGCCCGTTGCAGGCAGTTCTCATGATCGACTTTTTGTGACGTTTTCCTTCGTTCTGACAGCGTACAGTGCTTACCGCGGTTTAATTATACGATCTTCAATAGAAATGCGCGTAAAAATAAGCCAAACCAGTAAACTAGAGTGCATGGTTACTCAGTGGCTGGAATTTTGACTATGCCCTAAACCCGCCTGTTTAGGAGCCGCCGTTTTGGCTCGTCACGCAATGCACACAGACGATACATTGCGTTACAAATGAGAAGACAGTTGCGATGGACACTACTCTCCCCCTCTATAAATTCAATACGCTCTATCGTTAACAACTTCGACAAAAACTCACGTGCTTGTTCTTCTCCGACTGCCTCTGGCACAACGCTCATTTTTTCTTTACCCAGCTGAGTGGTAAAAAACGATATGTTGGTTAGATCTCTTACTGCACCATTTTCATAAGGTCTAGCCAAAGATCTTTCTCTTAACAATAAGCACGGGCATGGCACGAGCAGAACGGAAACTTAAGTGACACCCTACAGAACAACCCCCTCACCAACCCCAACCATGGATAGGAGATCCCGTATGACATTCTTTCGTCTGCATGATAAAACAAATATCTTATTAAAAATTCGCCGATCCACCGACAACCAATGTAACAGAGACCCCCATGGAACGAACGTTATTTTCAGCATTAAAATGATGAAATGTTTGGACACGAAACCCGGTGAAATGATCCACTGTTCAAAGCAGATTCCGTTAAGACAAAATAAACTTTTCCGGCACTAAGGTCAACTAGTAAAAACAAAAAAAGAAATCCTATTTGAAAAAAAACCCTTAGCCAGGCGAGAAGCAGTAACCTCCAGGTACCCATGTATACTGGATGAAAAGGGGCTCTGTGATAGTAAAGAACTTTGTCCCAAAACATACTCCTGCATGGAAAGGACCCCCATAATACAACACTGACCCGTGCTGGGGCGTCGATCTGATATTACACCCAAAGCAGCTCACCTTGAGGTAAACCTTGATTTCTTCTGCTCGTCTCATATACTTATCCACCTACAGTAGCACACAGAAAGATAAAAAATGGTTTACAGGGAAGCAGTTTTTAACTGTGTCGAAAGTATTGCGGGAATACGTTAGTTTTGCTTTACTTCCCTCCAGAAAACTCGTGCGATTCTCTCGACCAATCAAATCCAAAACTGAAAGAAATCACGAGGTAGCGACTCCCATTTCCCCGCCAACTCTCCGTTGCTGTTTTGAATTTGCTTCTCATAAGCTTCTTCTTCGCTTACGATTGGCCGTTGTGGTTATTTTGGTTTTGGTTATGAGGCACTCAATCGAAAGCGCTTTAAGGAATAAAAATCTAATTGGGCTTAAAGTTACAGCAAATGTGACGACTGCATAACTTGCCTCTAAATGTACCGCTTCCTTATACGATCCACGAGGCGTACCTAGAATATAACAGTGATAAAAAAAAAAAAAAAAAAAAAAAGAAACATTCCTTTATTAACTAGCAAGCTTGGTTGGCACACATGAGCTTGACGCTTGCCTGATTGGAGAAAAATTTTAAAACTGTTACAAACAACTAGTTTCTTTTAAACCATTGAGTTTCTGTCTCTGTTGAGATTTTTTTAACATTCATTCTACCTGGTCTCTTTAGATTGTTTAATAGCGACTTGAAATTTATCGCTGCGCTTGATTCAGGACGGCGCAGGCTTGACCCTTTGATCCTTAAGAGTGACCCGCATCTAGTTTCTCCTTACAATGTCACTCCTAAATCCCTCAATAAGGTCATGAGAATAAAGAAAATGATCACCGACTCAAGAAGTTCTCGATTGTTCAACAAATTCTCCTATTCATCATCTAAGGAAATGTATGGTGAAAAGTATGGAGAATGTTCATACTGATGTTGGGGTTTAAAAAAGATTAATGGAGAACACATAGCATTGCTTTTAACCGGCTCGAACCTGATAATATGGGTAAAAGTGCCTCCAGTGCCACTTGATACTGTTCCAGTGCACTGTCATAAGCTCCATGCTCATCCTGAAACAACAAGGCTTAACATGAGAAACCGGTCATTATGTTTCGTCGAAGGGGGTGGGGGGGGGCACCCATCGACCATTCCCCCTAAGGCTCTGCGGTATTCTGCAAAATTCGGAGTTTGAGTAGCCAATCAGAGCGCGTCTTCAAAGCTATCCAATGTTTTCGTATGAACTAAATCCATTCATCTTTTTAGTTCTATCTTTCGTTCTTGCCATTTTTGTCTCTCAATTATCCCATTTGAGTTTGTGGTCAGCTAGATACGTTTGAACGCTGATCAGCTCTCTGCAAAACTAGGTGCTATTTTTCGACAGTCACAGAACGCGCTCTAATTCCTTTTCTTGGTTACCGCTCTCACTATGCACGTAAAAAAAAGAATTCACTCACTCTAATTTCTGCGATACTTGCAAGGTGAAGAGCTTCTCTCAACTCGGGGTGGTCCCTGCTGTACCGCGCAAGTAACTCATCAGGACTACTTTGCTCCTTTGTTTTAAAACACTGTTTCAGTTCTTCTGCTCGGTTCATGTACTGGTTCACCTTAAAATTATACCAAAGGGGACAAAGGAAGTATTCTTACCATTCCTTTGTTAATTTATGAAACATTGTAACTTTACACAAAGTTCACCCTTTATGTGTCACATTTTAAAATGTGCAACTATATTTGTCCTTTCCACTCCCAAGATCTCCTTAGAAATTCTCCTTACTGTCTGCCATACAAAAGTCTTATGATGCTGGTTTAAAGAAATTGGTATTGGATCAAACTAATAATCCTCTAATTAATATTTTCCTTTATTGTCATTACTTGCCTGCTTGATTTTGCATTGACATAGATAAATGTAAGGAGAAATTGTCTTGTTCACTCCTGGGCCAGTTAAAGGGTTAATCCTTTCATTTCCAAAAGTGATTAAATGAAATTTCTCCTAACAATGCAAATACATTATCTAGCAAGCAGGTGAGGAGGGTAGACACACTCATCAGCTGTGTGCACATGTCAGCTTGATACAACACCAGATTCTCTATACTAATTTAAAGAAAAACATATGGAAGCCAGAATGGAGAATTGTAAGTCAAATATCCACTCCATATAGCTTATGTATCAATCAAGATGTATTCTGACTTGTTCCTGGCTATCAGTCAGTGCAGATGAACAACAAAGTAGATGTGCAAAATATGGTGTAGGTGAAATACTACGAGAGAGCTTGAAGAAAAGTTACACAACCCTTTCCCTGACAACCACAACCACCATGCCTGCTTGCTTACCATATTTCTTGTGCTTGCTCATTCACTTGTTTTACTAACTGAGAGATAAGTTTAATTTGGGCAGACTTTTCTCATCTAAAACTAGAGGGCGAGAGTGACATGGAAATCTTGAATCCATTGTTTTTACTTTGAAGCATAAAGAAAAATTTTAGAAACAGGACTTCCTGACCAATATGAATTGACCCATAAATGCTTTATAAAATAATTAAGTAAGAAAATAATGCAAATTTAATCAAACAACAAGAAACTTATCATTTTGACACATGCTTTTGTGCTTCTATCAAACTTGTAAACTGATTAGTACCATGGAGGAAGGGTCAGTGCATCATATGATTCAAAAGTTCTCCTCAAAAGCTACAGCTCAGAATTGATATTAAAACTTACCCTCTCTCGCAATCTTGTTTTCATCTCTGGGTCTTTTTCATCTGAAAAGTGAGTGAACCTGTCAGTTTGTTGTTAGGACAGCTACATGAACCCCAAACCACTTTCTGATTGTCACCACAAAGCCAAAACAAATATAGAGTGATAACAACAGTGAACCACTACTAAATTTAACATCACAGAGAACAAATGGTTGCTGCCAAAAGGAAAATTTATATACAAATGTATAAAGTTGACCTCCAGTACAAAAAAGTGTCAGAGGCAATTTACCTTAATTGTCCCCAGCCACACCACTCTCACTCAATACAACGAACAAATGAGACAGTGAATCTGTTTAGACATCTTCAATGAGGAAACAGGGAGCCCCTGAGGGCTCAAGGAAACCCCCCAGGGTGGAAGGGAGGGTAGAGATACAACTGGAGCAATTGAACGCACAAAATGAAGTTATCATATGACATTGAAATGTCAGTCAACAGCTAGCCATGTGCAGCTAGAGCTAACTAAGTTATTCCCCTACAAATATGAACCTTTAGTTAGTTTGCCATCTGATTGGGGAAAGGGGGATCCTGAGAATTTTAAAACAATCATGGAGTGCAGTGAAGTAAAAATTTGTACAGCCCCAGATTACTTTCAAAGCTCAAATTAAAATTTCTTTTGATAAGAATAGAAACTGACATACATTCAATGGCTGGAAGAAAGAAGGCCATAGCTTCACAGTAGAGTTTAGCAGCTTCTTTCAAATCACCAGCATCATCCATTTTAATGGCCTCAGTCACAAGCTTTACCTGCCAAGAGCACAACATACAATGTAAGGTCAAAAAGGCAGTTGAATGCACATGTAGCTTTTAAGGAAAATTTAAAAACTGGAGTAATATTTCCAGTGAAAACAAACACATTTTGTCAGTTCTGAAAGGTACTTTCATGGGACATGGAGGTGTAGACCATTGTATGATCTACTGGTACTAGCCAAACTTTTGGTTTGACTAATTCTTAAAGAATCCAAAGTCAGGTTATCAGCTTGAAGGGCTATATTGCTCTTCCAGCTTTCAGTGACATGAAGCAATCAAGAGTGATGCCACTCCCCCATGGAGGGGTTGATTGTCCATCCCAAGGTTATCCTCTCTTCTGCATTTTGCAGGTTTCTGTGACGCTTTGTTGGTCACCATTTTCATTTGTTGTTGGAACGTGCAGTGTGAGAGGAGTGTCTTAATCACAGTGACTTGCCCTTTGTGCACTGACCTGAGTACACTGATCATGAGGCCACCCTTTTTTAATTGATGCGTATTACAACACTTACAGCCCTCTCTAAGCAGGCTGGTGATGGGAAATGCTCTAAATCAAGAAAAGGGTGTGCAAAGAACTCATCAAAGGAGATTCTGTCTGTGGGATCCCTCTGTAGTAAGGCCAACATGAGGTCCTGACAATCTGGTGACACTTTTGTCCCAACAGGGAGCTGAAAAGTGTAAACCAAGTATTATAAATGCTTTATGACATTCACTTTCTAGCAACAAAGAAAATCAAACTTGGCATTAAAAATACAAAAAAAATTAATTAACACATAATTAAAAATACAAAAACAGGTTTGTCACTGATGAGATCACCTCCAGTAGAAGGCACCAAAAAATTAGACCTGACCTTAACTTATCAGGAAATGGCAAAAATGTGCACATTTATGTATTAAAAAAATGACTTTTTAGTATATTTTCGCTGGATAAATTTATGATCTAGAAGAAAACTGGAGTAAAATCAGAGTTCATTTTGGCCATTTCCTTTTGGTGTAAACTGATCATGCTTCACACCCTGTCATCATTATGTTTCAGTTAAATTAAAAGTAAAAAAATAACTTCATTATTATGAGCAGTCCCTCCCTTTTGGTGAAATCCCCTGCACAAGTTGAAAAAAATACATGAAAAAAAATTGACGTTAATGCGACTTTCACACCATGGGAGCTCCAGGAGTCACGCCCCTGACTCCTTGAACAATTCAACAAACTAGCTTAATTAAGATAGTTGCCAGAATTTCAGGAGACTCTCTCAGACAAACATCAACCTAACAAGTTCAGGTTCACATATGGAACATTGTAACACTGTTACAGTTGAATCTTTCAGCTCTCAACCACTTCTGCAGCCAGTGTTTTTTAGAAGCTCCATTGGGTTTCCTAGCAGTTGATTTCCAGAATTCATGATAACCTCCTCCTTCCACTGATCCAACTGGTGTTGACCACTGCCTTGAATGGAAGCTTTTGACTGAGTTGGGGGGATTTGCCAGCTATTAGGATCACTGTGGTGGATGGCTGGACACAGTGGGAGCTAACCCGGGTAACAACCATCCAGAAAGTAAAAGGGCTGATTGATTTGCAAGTGTGTGAAGTGTAGAGGAAACAGTGAGGATAATAAAAAAAAATGAAATTGTATCACAATAAACAAAAAAGTCTTCAGAGCAGTTTTTCAATCACTGTTGGTGTTTCCCTTACCACAATGGGAGCTGAAGATCGTATCTTCTTCTCAAGTTCCGCAAAAGACGCAGAGGCAAAAGGTGCCACACCAAACAGTGCCTCTTAAAAAGGGTGAAAGAAATAATTAAATATAAATTATAAATCACCAAATTTTTAATGTTGGTTTATGTGTAATGCATTCATTTTTTAATATGTTGTTCTTATTGGTTTTTAATTACTAATAGCGTCACTATTTTATTCCAATTTTGTTTTCTGTCAGTTAGACATTTTACTTAAAAGACCCAGTTAGTTTGTTGAATATTGCCATTTATTTCCAGGGAAAAGTGAGTGTCCAGTTCCTTCTCAAAACTTTTTTACCTTGAGAGTATAGAATTGAAAACTAATTCTAGACAATATCGAAAGTAGTTAAATGCTGTTCACTTGCTAATTGCCCAAATAATGGGAAAAAAAGGAAATATCCAGTGTATGAATCAATGTAAACACATTCTCTGAAAGAACCCATGTGAATGTTAAATTAATAAAATGTTACCTGTTAAGCAGTCAGACTAATTTATAAATTATTGATAATTGGCTTACAGGAGATTAAAGAAACCAAATGAACGAACAAACTATAACACACTGTCAGGCAAGGAGCAGAAGTCTGTCTAACAATGACTCACCATAGAGGATAACACCTACAGACCACAAATCTACCCTGGCATCATATTTTAATGAACAAATCACCTCTGGTGCCTGCCAAAAAAATGTATTCATAATAATTTTAAAAATAATTTAAAGTACTACTGACAAAAAAAAGAGTGGCTCTAAAAACAAATCTTTATGGAACTCACATTTTTATTTCTAGTTTTTGAGCACTGGCCAATTGATTTTTAAAAACATGCACATGTAACTTTCACTAACCCTAAACCTTACAACATACATTTAAACTGAAGTTTTATAATGAATTCCACATAGTCTATACTGTCTTTACTTATCCATTTATTTATCTACAAAAACTGAGGCCATTAATTTTAAGCATTCTAAGCAACATATGGCAATCTGTGGTCTTTCCTTACACTTAGGTGGCACGGAAAGCCGTGAAACTCTTGAACAAAAGCTCATCTTTCAAACCGGCAGTCTAAATCCCACAAGGATCAACGAACGCTTTTCATTTCACTAATTTATTCATGTTTTTCTCGTTGCCATGTTCCCACCAATCACATAGCTCCATTTTCTGCCTTTAAAAGCACACACAAACCACAATTCCTCTATTTGCTCCGACAAAGGGCTAACGCTCGAAACATCAGCTTTTATAACCGCAACAGTGGCCAATTTACCATTTCAACTTTGTTGATATATTCAAATTCTTTCTTTATAAGCCTCATTTGCTAACATACATTACCATATACAGGGGGGACCCTCTCAGTGTCTTTGTCTCCTCTTCACTGTGTAAATACTGTGCAAAACCAAAATCTGTGTAGAAAAGAAAAACAAGTATGAAAGTATATAAATGGAATAAATGGGTTCACCTAACATGATTGGCCTAGGTTACAACTTACAACAACCAAAGTGCATGCTTGAAGGATAGACTAAAACCTTCGGAATGTGTATTGTGAAGACGCTTATTTTCGTTTCAAAATCGATCTTAACAGAAATGACAAATGTGTGACATTTGACAAAAACTGAAGTGCGAGGTCTACTTTAGAGGAATGCATCAATTGAGAGTAAAATGGAGTAAAAATGTAAAGTAAATTAAGGCAACAGGTTACCAACAAGCATTACCTGCCAATTTTAGAACAGGATTTTGAGGGTCTGATAACAGCAAATTCTGAGGCTTAAGATCCATGTGAGCTATGTTGTTTGCATTCAGAAATTGAAGTGCAAGAGCTGAAGAAAATAAAAATAAAAAAATTCAACATCATGTAATAATAGACTAAAATTACTATTCAAAAGATATATCTTATCACAGAGAAATGTAAAAACCTAAAAAAGGAAGGTATGAGTAATATTCTAGTAGGGTAAGATCAATGATGACAATATTTTCCTCTCTTCCTACAAATACCACAATTTACACTTCTACTTCTATCCAGGTCCAAGTTATATGTACCAGATGGGTACATGATTTGATTGGAGATTGTCAGGGTAAAACACCATGATTATATCGGATGTATGCAGATGAATGATTTGTAAAGTGCACAGACTGGGGCAAATAATTCATCTGCAAGACACTTATAAATCATTATATTTCATTTTGGCAAATTAACCCTTAAACTCTCAGAGGTGATTAACAAGTAACTTCTCCCTATGATGTCCATACATTACCCACAGCAAACAGTTAGTGAGAATACTCAAACTAATCAGGAAGAAGTTGTTACCTAACGATCAAACACCAAATTCTTGTAACTAATTTACAAGGAGACATGTCACAGTTAAAGGGGAGAATTAACAATCAGATCTTGATAGGTAAAGGGTTAACTTAACCAAGTTCAATGATTATTTTATCATTCAGTTACTGAACTTGTTTCTCACAGAATTTTTCATATATCTCTCTCAGGGCTCAACACTGACAGTAGCCAACTAGCCACAGATCAGTAGAAACTCAGTTTTGGCTAGTGGTTTTCAATTTCCACTGGCCAGTTTGGTTAGTAAAGAAACTGAAACTGTCATAACATCTAAGATGTCACCAGCCACTTGGCTAGTAAGTTGAAAAGTTAGTGTCGAGCCCTGACTCTATCACAGTTTAGGAAAGTGATCCAGATGCCATTTCTATTTAAATTAATAACTATGAATAGAAAATAACATAATTGTTGAAAGTATAACTCATTCAAATGATTGAATTTTAAATCTGGGTAGAATTATATTTTCCCAGTATACCTAACTGTCGTAAAAATTTTCTGGCAATAGGCTCAGGTAGACCCCTTCTGCTGTGAATAAACCTGGATAAGTCACCACCACTGCAATACTCCATTATGAGGAAAATGTATTCATCATCCCACTGATAACAAGAAAATAACAGACACATATGAACATGAAGAGTTGGAGCTTATCTTGTTTATACAAATAATGCTTGTCGTAATTAAAGAAAAAGTGTGGGACGTCCATGCAATTTTATCCTCACTATTGAAAAGTGGATTTGAGCCAAGGGAGAGTAAAATTAGTTCATTTTAAAAGCAAGTTTTAGTTAACCAAGTTCCAGTTAGCTGGTAGTAAATGACTGTAAAAATGGGGTCAAATCTGAGAGAAATCAGATCTTGTTCAAGTTAGAAAAAGGGATTCAAGTCAACTGAGTTTGAGGTTAGCAGACCTCTACTGTTACAGTAGTTCATTGGTGCAGATGTTTGACTATAATCACATTTAACCCCTAAAAAAGACTATGCTTACCCCAAAGTCTTTTAATTTGACAATATGCTCATGATCCAGTTTTTTAAGTAATTCAATTTCAGTGAGTAGATTCTCTGTAGAAGTCTTGCTTAGGGAACTTTTTTGAATGCATTTGATTGCGACCACATCTCTGGTGTTACCCTATAAAAAAGCAAACAGTAACAGTGAACAATATACTCTTTTACTTGTATGAGTAACCAAGACTAAATTTCTCTTTATAATACATCAATACAAAAACAAGTAACAAAGTAATGAGAATAAAAAAAATATCAATAACAGGATTCTTAGTTGACCCAAAACAAAAGTCTCCAAACTTACATCATAAGAACAACTGTGAGGAGAACTTCTAATGAAATCTTGGAAGTGAAAGGGTTAATGAAATGCCTCATGGCAAAACTGTCTCCTTGATTTTTTGTTCATCTATTTAAGTGCCCAAATATGATTAAATTATTGTATGTGATATTTTATTCAATAGGGAAACAAATTGTTCAGAATTTACTTTCACTGGCTTCAAGAGCAACTCTTGGTAAAAAAATATTATATATCTTTCTTTCTGGTATTTTTTGTGACTTCTTCAATGCAGCAGAGACAAAAAAAACTTTTGCAAAAGGGCATTAATTCTAATTTTTGGCTTGAATTACTAGAATTTACTCGTAAAAAATGTTCCGGAGGGATTTCAATCATCCTCATATTGAGGAAAAGAAACAGAAGTTAGATTTCACAGACTCGTGTTACAACTTCCTTTCTTTTCGGTATGTGCTTCATACTTAAATCAAGAAATGAATTCCTCCTTTTGGAAACTCCGTTTAAATTAAAGATAGAAAAGCACTCATTCTCGGATTGGTTCTTCATAAGTACAATGAGTACCATTCCCTTACTTTCACTTTCAAGGTACCTGTATACATGCATGGCCGGTTTGTAATGAAATTGAAGAGAAGAAAGAATGATCATTAATTATCTAAAAATATTCAAGATGAAATAGTTTGAGTTGCTGTACTTGCTGTTATATCAATATTGCGGAGCAGCTGCATGTACCTTGAGCTAACAGCCGACGGAAGAAAGCTTAGGAGAGTTGAGCAAAAAAATCGCGACTGATGAATAATAATATTATGAGAAATTTTCACGTTTCTTGAATGTTACCTTTTTGAATGCCTTATATACAGTTGCGTAAGTTCCCTGGCCTAATTTCTCGGTGATAACATAATGCTCTAGCCTTGGTGGAGGTACTACTTGAAAGGAACTACAGGTGGCCGCCATCTTGTTTGTTTACGAGTGAGCCCGCGCGCGATGTCGCTGGCTCAAGGGGTAAAATAGGAAATGAGGCACACAGAAACAGAAATTTAGAGGACCTCAACAAATTTTAACTTAAAGCAGAAAACTTCTAAGACCCTTTTAAACTTTAATCTAGATCATCGAAATGGTATTTGTTAAGCAGCATATCGCAGAAATATCGCGCAAAATAATTCAAAACTCCCCGGATAGGCGAGGGAAACCGTGGGTCGTGTTTCGACATGGAACTTGCGTGATTCTCATGGAAGGGGTGTCCAGTAAAGAAGAAGCAATCACTCAAGCTACTCAGATAATTTCTGAATACGGCCCCGTTTATGCTGGAAGCCCAGCCGGCGATTTTAATATTGCTGAAAATTCTGCAGTAGAGGGAATAGTCGTGACTGGATGGCATTCAGATGTTCTAAATTACGTCGACAAGGACGAACAAGGAGATAACATGATGGTCAGCGGTTTGATTGGAAGGAGCATGAGGGATCAAGACGGAAGGAATCCTGAAGTTCTGCACGTGGAATACTCTGTTTGAGTCATATGAACGAAAACATTTTGCATAAGTATTAACGAAAGTTGCTTTCCACTTTTTTCATGAGAGAAAACTCAGTGAGACAGACAATACCATCCGATATTGATGGACTAGTGATGTGATGTTAAGTGCATGCAGAATGGGGAAATATCCGGAAGAAGCCATGCATGTCATTTCACTCACTGAAGTGTGTCAGCATAAATAAACGTGTATGAATAATTTGATAAAAAGAACTATTTGCGAACCTGAGACTCTTTTGATACCAAATGAATCGGAAAATTTCTTCATTAAAGACTTTCAAACTCCCAAAAATTAACGCGTATGCGAGGCTAGTTTCTACGGGTTTTAGTTGGGTGGCAAACAAGAGCGTATTATAACCATCATGCGTCTCGGGTTGAAAACATGGCGGACGGACTAAATGGAGAATTTTTTGATCGTAAAACTATGCCTTTTTTCCGGAAAAAAAAATTGTATACTTTTGCGGAATTATCAAAATACTTCTCCATTGGTGAATGCTAGACAAAAGCAATTTTTTCTCTGGAAAATTTTTGCCTGTTTATTGATGAGATTAAAATGTCTCAGGTCAATTACAAAGGTGTACTGCAAATTCACTGCCAAAAATCAAAGGTAGCTCTTCCTCGATACAGCTGCACGGAAAGAATCCAGGGCTATAGTCCAGTTTTCTCAGCGAATGTAGTTGTTTTCGGACAAAATTTTACTTGTGGAGGCGAATTTAGCAACAAGAAACAGGCAGAACAAGACGCGGCGAAAGTAGCGTTGCATGAATTGGGATTGCTTGAACCAGATCTAGATGCAGATAAACCAAAATTGCAACAATATGAGATCAAGCAACCTTTGTTCGTTGTCGATGGCGCTGACGATAGCCAGGATAAATCTTGTCTAACCACGGACCCTTCGTCAACACCAGTAACAGGTGAATCCCCGGAAGATAAGCTGCAGACGTCAACTTCATCAATTGGAGAAGATTTGTGCTCACCTGTCGCCCAGAGTCCGGCTACAGGGATGGTTTCTTTATCATATAAGAATATTCTCCAAGAGAAAGCACAGAAAATGGGATTGCCTCTTCCTCAATATGAGACCACTGTAGAGGGGTCTGGTTTTGTTTGCACCATGACCTTTAACGGGCAACAATATAAGAGTGAAGGAGTTTCATCCAACAAAAAACAAGCTCAACAGAGTGCAGCATCAGTAGCTATTAAGCTCTTGACTTCGGAGCAAGGAAGTGAGCAAAAATGTCTGGTACAAAAGACCATTGCACAAGACAGTCAGAGTCCTGCAGCCACTCCAGAAAAATTTGACAACAAATTGTCTTACAAGAATCTCTTTCAGGAGAACTGTCAGCAGAGAGGGAACAAACCACCCAGTTATCAAACATCCTGGAATGGTAATGTATTCTACTGCATGCTTGAAATAAACATTTAACTGTCATCAAAGTGGAAGACCAATTCACATAAATTCCTAAGCCTGAAAGCAGAGCTCCAGATGTTTTGCTTTATTATAGTCATGCAATGGACAAAGCAGATGGACTAAGATGGGTGATTTTAAAAACTCTCCTTGTCATGAGCTTTTCTCTTTTTTTCTCTTCTCATATTTACCTTATCCAAGTCTAAACACAAAAGCTCCTAAGAGCATTATTGTCTTTCTACTTTGGTGCTTTTTTTGTTTCTCTTTCATTTGCTTTGTTTTGTCCAGTTTTTGGTAGTTATTTTACAATGCAGTAGTATGTACTTTTCACTTTCTGTTCCATGATTGTGCTCAGACAGATACCCGGAATGCATGCACAAGTGTATCCACATATGGTCATGACCTCACATCCAATTTTCTCAGCTTGATTGGCTTTGACATCCTCTTACTTAATGAGTTGTATACTGATGTGTTAGCACACTCTGCATGCTGGAGCCCTACTACATATGTGATATTTGTGTTTATAATCCACCCATTAATTTTGGCATGATTTTATTGGTTACTTAACATCATGTGGTGCAAAATCACAGGACAGTTATCGCGCAATAACCCCCATCCACGCCGATATTAATTTTGTCCTCCGATTTTTTCCGTGAAAAAGAAACATAGTCAACGCAAGAGTTTCAACTTTTCTGTTCTCCTATTTACATAGAAGGAAACGAAACTCTTTTTTTTTTTGCTTGCTTGCATCAATCACGCGCATTCGCCATCATCACCACTGGCTTTTTCACTGTGTTTATGCGCAGTTTAATTGCAATGTGAAAATTAATGGGAGGGTTATAAAATAAAATAAACCCCATTCTGGCCTGCTGGTATGTTGGTTGATAATGTCCTTGGCTGAGAGATTGTCCTCAGAATTTCATATTTGCCCTCGAAGCTTTCTCGGCCAAATATTCATTTTTCGGACAATCTCCCAGCCGCGGACATTATCAGCCGACACACCAGCTGCCCGAAGGGGTTTATTTACTAAATATCATGGTGTCAAAAAAAGCCAGTGGGTATATTTATGAAGTTTTCATGAAATATAACTTGACATTAGGACAAGATGCTGAGGGTAGAGATAATGTTTGGCTGTGTGATCTTTATGTTCTATGTTTAATTTATTTTAATAGCAGTTTGTTTGAGAAACTACAGCAAGATTTCTGCATAGCAGCTTACTATACTTCATTATGGATACAGTTCTTAGATAAGAAAACAATGGCAAAAACAATAGATTGCCTTTGGAACTACAGCTTTGTCTTTCAATAGTATAGGACTTATGTTGAAATCTTACCAGAACTACTAATAAAAATATTCCTTTCAAGGGTCTGGATTTATCAGCCTTGTTCAGTTTGGTGACAAGACTGTGTCATCAAGGGTGCCATGCTCTAGCAAAAAACAAGCACAGCAACTGGCTGCCAGGGAAGCACTGTTAGCTGTAGGAGTAACCGATCCAGAAGATGCATTTAACAACAAAGAATCAAGAAAAATGAAATCCAAAAGAACTATGCCACAGATGAGTGGATTGAAAAGAACCTGGGTACACTCCCATGGTGGACAAGGACAATTAAATCCATGGTACATGTATACTTTGAACTTCTTCTATCAGGCAATGATTGGATGATGAATATCATCCAAAAACCAAATTCAATTATAATATTATACGTGACTTTTTTTGTGTTGAAACAATCTGCACTACTCAGACGAGGAGCTTGAAATCGAAGCAGACTTTGAATTCAACATGATAAAAGCAATATCTGCTGAAGGTACTGCATTTATCATGTCAACTTCACAGGCTATTGTATATTAATTGAATGCTCTTGACCAATCAGATTTTTGGTGGTAAGTCTAACGTATAATGATGCTCATTGTCAGCAGAAATGTTATTGAATATTAACTATAATTGTAACTTACTGTGGCTGTGTATGTTTTCATTAATTTGTCTTACCAATTATTATTATCCAAAATCATAGTAAAATTGTAATTCTTGTGTTTTTGTGTTTTCAGGGGAGATGTTGACCATAACTGGCATCAAGCGATTATGAACAAAAGACAAAAGCTGGACACAGATGAGTACCCTCTCAACAAAGGAAAATTTGAAGGAAGTACATTTGCTCTTCCATTAGAACACAGGCAAGATCTTACAGTTGCTGAAATATGGAAGGAGAAGAAAAATATTGCCATTGTTGGAGATAAAGAGTCATCATTCATTTTGTACTGTACAAGAGTTCCTGGGACTTGTAACATTTTTAACACTCGCACCATGTCCTTTGTTTTGCTTGAGCCAGGTGAACTAACAGAAGAGTTGTTTAACTATCTAAGAAATTATGAAATTTTAAGTTGCTGCATGATAGAACTGATTTGGTGATTTACAGTAAATAACAGCAAATCTGATTATGTGCCACATTCATTGCTCCAGCTGCAACAGGTTTTATGCTATGGTGGGTTTTTTGGCAATCAAGTTTGCAGCTTAAGTTGCAAATTTGGCATCTTGTGTTTAAATTGGTAATCGGTGAGCTGTAATGGTCTTTTAAGGTACAAGTAGTTTCACATCATTTTTAGTCATCAAGGATGATGCAGTTGTACCCAAAATGATTATGCAATGGGAGGTGTTGTTTTCAACTCTTAATTTAAGGTATTGCTAGTCTAAAAGTTTGAACTCAGTAAAAAGCTCTTGTGTTTAATTGCAAGTTTTTATTCAGTGATTCTGTTGTGGAGACAGTGAATAGTTGTGATATATGAGGTAGGAGACAGGAAATGACCAACAAATCTTATTTTGCTGAACCATTATTTTATTAAGATCATGAGAATTAAGGAAAATGGTTTCTAATCTAGGAAGCTTTCAATTGACCAATCAACAAATTCTCCTTTTCAGTACCAAAAATTGTTTTAAGAAGAGTTTGGAGAATTTGGATACTGAATGTTGCTCAAGGTGAAATGAGTTAACAGATCTTAATGATGTCCTTACTTTGTTTATATCTTGTGATGTATTAGGTTATCGCATAGTTGGGCTTGATGCTTGTTACACTGATCATAAAGGCAAAGTTGCTCTTCAGGCTGAGAGATGTGCAGATATTATTATACCTGAATCACCAGATCCTGTTTTGACAAGCTGTGGAGTTGTACTACTTTATCGAGATCCAGAATCAAGGTTATAGTCATTTGAGGTTCTTGTCTGATTAGTGAAGATGTTAAGTATTACTCCATTTTCACTGCATTAATTTTGCAGTGGGGAAGGACTAGAAAGGAACTTATGAATCATATGTGCTAGTCCCCCCTCCCACCCATCCCACCCAGGGGAGGACATCCATCACACAGTAATCTCGTGCGTGGGAGATTAATGTCTCCTACCCCTAGCCCTGCAGGAGATGGGACCTCCATTTATTCGTCCCTATCCAAGAAGATTAGAATATCGAACCATTTCTTGATGTTATAGAAAGGTAGCAAATTCTTCTCAATTATTTTAAGACCCTGAGAGTTGGTCCGGCCGGGACCAAGTTGTGTAATGCGTGAGTTACATGACATTGTATTACTCTGTGAGTAGTACCTGTACATACTGTTTGTGGGCTCAAGGTCTGCCCTTTATTCTGATCATTGTTAAACCAAGTGTATGGTTGAGCCTTGAGGACGAAGTTTTCAAAATTTTTCCATTATCCTCACTGAAACTTGTGATACCATATATCTTCGAAAACAAGTAAGTTTCCTCCACGAATTAGAAAGGCATTGATAACTGTATTAAGCAGCTAAACAATTTTTTACAGTAGACTTGATTGATTGATTTGCCAAATCAATCTGCATGGATGGCCTCTTCATTTAGAAATCTGTTGTTTGTGCAATTATTCATACTTTGAAAAAAGGCACCTTGGGCTACCAGTAGTTCTGGTTTTGAAAACTTCGGTTCCACACTTAACTAAACTGGTGTTTGATTTACATGTAGTTTACTTCAGGTGCTCCTGAAACGATATCTTTCCAGTCAAGCATTTGTCAGTGTGGCTGCAGCATTAGCGCAGTACTTTCGTCGCATGGTCTCTGGTCGTCCTGTATCGCTGGACATTCCAAGCCTGACAGAACACATTTGTGATTGGATGTTGGAAGAAGTTCAAAATATTGCAGGAATGCATGAAGAAGCTCTTCATCAGTTGTTTTCTCACATGTGGAAGTTCAACAAGAAATGGTGCTCTGTTTTAAGTCCTCCCCTTCCTCATGATCTTGAATCACTGAAGGTACAAAGTACTACAGATGTAGATGGGATATTGTAAATGCTTTAAGAAACCTCCTGGAGCCCTCCAGAGTTGGTATGAATGCCACAGGCGACTAATTCTAACAAGCACGATTTTAACACAGCGAAACAACATGGCACAAAACAACACAGTTAAAACAGCAAATAAAACAGCAAACGAAAACCTATTATAATATAAACTACACTAAATACCCAAGGAAAGCTATAAAGAAAACGACGACGAAAACTACATAAAACAAACTTATATTTGTTGCAATGTTGTGAATCCTGCCTAGTGGTGAACAAGCTGCACGGAGCGAAAAAGACGAATATGCAAACTACACTTGACAAAACTGCACTGGAAAAAACTGCAAAAAAACTACAATGAACAATACGGTTTAAATACATGCTACGTAATGTAATGACACAAAGAAAGTGCACGCAAGACTTTAACAATTAACACTACTGCACAAGAAACAATAGACAAAAAATAATGCATAGCGATCTACAGTTGGCTCGAAGGATTCTTTAATTTTTAAGGGAGGTTTACAATTAAACATACACAGAATTTGGTTTTCTTATATACCTTCAAAATAGCTAGCAAATAATTCAAGGTAAATCAAAATATAATTATGGTAGTTGATAAAGCTGTACCTACCTAATAAAAGAGAAGACATGTTAGAATTACATGTAATCTTAAAATAAATACAATTATCATAACTGTACAGTGATGAAGGTTTTTCGTTACCAAGGCCAGGGCTTTGGATGAACTTGCCCGTCGACAAGCAAGTGATGTTCAGTACTCTGAGGATTATTATCATCCATGGAGTCTTCCTAAAGGAAATTTCAAACATAGAATGCTTTCAACAGGTTGGCATCAACTTTTGAAATATTACATTGTTTTGAAGAATGGACTTCCTATAGAGATGGGGGTTACCTTGTCTGAAAAAAATATTCTGCTGAATAGGTGTGGCTAGGAAGACTATAAAAACATTCTGGAGAACATTTCCTATAATAGACCTCATCACCTTTGATTCGATAAAAAGAATAACATCAATAACAACAGTTATCAAAAGAGACTATTGCTTTGAATTCTCCCTTCTCTTTGTGAGGAACTTGATAATGGATGGCTTCCCTGTTTTGTAGTTAATGATAGGCTGAATACTTCTTTAAAGGTCTTTTTATTGAACCTGCTGTCGACTGTGCAGTGAGAGAATTGAAAGAAGAAACAGGAATCAAACTGGACATTGATCAAGTGAAAAATTGCCCCTGGATTGATTTGCCACAAGAAGATAATTTGAATCCCCATAAAGGTAAGGAAAGCTGACATAACCTCACTTATAGTCCTCAGTGCACTAGATTCTGAATTAAACTGTCTGAGTTTGAGACCTGGCTAGGTCATATGTGTTCTGATCTTGGACATGATATTTAACTCTCACAGGGCCTTTCTCCACCCAGGAGGTAAACAGGATACTATCAAAATCTCAGGGAAACCTCACTCTTCCCTGGCATTCCATCAAGGGGGTACTTCCAGCACTCCTTGTTGCTTCATACCACTGACACGAGGATAAACCTGGCCAGGAGGGACCTTCAGGCCTCTAAAGTGACGAAAGGTGTCACTAAAAAAAATCCTGGGGCTTGGGCAAGTGGGGGGGCTGATCAGGTCAGCCTTCTGTCCACAGATTGGAAGCATAAAGCTATTTTAGCTGCCCATGAGGGTTCTTTCTCTCCTTAGCATTATTAGCAAACCAGTAGAATAGCTGGTACTAATCAGTTTATACAGAACTGTGTTAGACAGTACCTGTGGACAATCTTTGCAAGTAGTTTACATTACTCACGAAACTGTAAGTTGCAGTTTCTATTAGAGGTGTCATTAATATTAAGTTTGTTTCGCAGGTGATATTGTAAGGTATTTCCTGTGTGTGTACCATTCAGATGGCAATGAAGAGTTAAATTTGTCACAGGACATGACTGTAGTAAATACCTCCATAGAGTGGGAAGCAAAGCAAAGTATTGATGAAGGTCAGTGCATGATAACATGAACACTTCTTCTTTTCCTCTGTTCCTGTTTCAGTTTGTTCAGCCGCTGTGCGCAGCTGTCAAATTATTTAGGAATGCTTAGCCAAAGGCAGTGTTACCTAATATTATATTTGCACTTGACTCTAAATTTGTTTGTTCATTCTTGAGTTATAACAGCCCATTTTCAAGCCACTCTGCCCTATCTCTGAAATGGAGAATGTAATTCATAATCAGATAACTTAGCTATCACTTTCAGTGGAAGGTTTTCCTTCTTTTGGCACATCCAACGAGCAAGAGGCTGTTGAAAATGAACACAATGACATAACTAACCCACAAAAATGTCAAGAGGACATCCAACATGACATTCACATTGTGACAAAGGGACAAGAGGTGGAGGAAGCCCAAGATGAAGCCCAAAGTCAAAAGGAAGATGCACATGGAAGAGGAATTAAGCGCAAGAGGGATGAAGATGATGATTGTAAGTGCAGAAGGATCCCAAGATCTTATTAGCAACTCTCCTTACTGTCTGCCATAATTATAATTCTTATGTTAGTTCAGAGGGTTTGCTATTTGTCCATGGAGATGATTTCTTATCTTGGGGAGGTTGTGTGGATCAGAGAAATTCAGTGAGTAACTTACAATGTACCTAACTGTCTTGACTGTTTGGTTAGTTTACTTACTTTAGAATCAGAATTTGTATGCGAGAATATATATATATAAATAAAGAACTGAGAACTTTCGTGTCTATGTGATAAAAATCATAGCAACTTTCATTGTTTTAATTTGTAGTAAAAACAGAGGACTGCCAAGTGAGAGGAATATCTTTGATGCCTCAGGACTGCAACGTTTCACTTGATTCTTTGCCGTCACCTGTGTCTGAGTCAAAGCAAGAAGTAATATTTGCAGCTAAGTCACCTCATGTCCAGAGCAGTGTACATGAAGAGTGTTCTTGGTTTTCTGTTGAGGAGGCAAGAACAAAATCACCTGTATTTGAACTGGTTTATCAAAGGGAGGAATTCCAACAACTTCTAGCCTCGATTTTGGCCTCACAAGAGAGATAGTACAGAATAATTTTGAATCATAGTATAAAATTAGCAGCCTTGTTACAAATTGCTCCCCTTTTTATCATGTCTGAGATTTAAAGCTTGTACGCTAGAAAATTCTTTTTCATTATGTATTAGCCATTGCCTATGTAATAGATACGGAGAATTTTAAGTTGTCATCATGAAAATGGTTAGTTTTTTTTTTTAACTGTAAGCCTCATCTCAGTAGATTAATTACTGACTTCTTTCACTCTTTGACCCCCAAGATCCTATTGATAATTCTCCCCTCCTACTGCTTCTCATTTCCCTGTAAACAAGTCATGAGAATTTGGTGTTAGATCAAGATAACTTTTACCTGATAAGTTTGAGTATTCTTATTACCTTTCTGCAGGAAAGTGTATGGATATTGTGGGGAGATGTTACATTTTGATAGAGTCAGGGAGTTAAAAGGGTTAAACCAGAGAGCATGGGAGTTACTCATCCCAGACAGAGTAAATTTAAATGAGAAATGCATGGTATAATTGTAAAAGATTATGTTGCATGTGAGGGACAAAAAGGTGATTCATGAAAAGTGAAATCCATTTTTGTCATTCATATTGGAATTTTCATATATTTATAGAAAAGTGGATGTGAATGTAAAAAGTTTCACTGTTGAAATAAGACCTTTTGCAATTATTGGGGATTTAGTATGCAAGAAGTCTGAAAAAATTTCACATGGTCCAAGTTGACCTCTGACCATTTTCTCAGAAATTTTCTTAAACAAGAGTGTTGAAAATTTTAAGGTGAAGTAGTTCTTTGGATGTCGCTGTTAAAAAGTAGGAATTCCACTTTTTTTCCTCTGACTTTTACCACCAACTTGTTAACTAAACTTTTTAATAACATCATACCCATCATGCAGTAAAGAATGACAACTTACAATAATGTACATTATGAATATCTTTTATTTGCCCCAAGTACACAGCTATTAGTCTGTGTCCAGAATGAAAGATCTTGTTCAAACTTTATATGTATGTTGCATAGAGCAAACAACGACAATAACAAGCATTTTGTAACAGAACAAAGATTATACACCACCACTAACCTGATTACAAACAATGTGGATATCTTGAATGACAAAAGAATCTAAACAAACAAAATGCTGGTTTGAAGGAAATCTATTATCTACATTTCATCTTCTACACTAAATTTTTTTTTTCCTCAGGACAACATTAACTTTCAGCACATATATATTTAGTACTGATTTGAAATGAACTCTTCTTGCCATCAACATCACTCAACTTGCACTTGTTAAAACAATTGCAATTTAAAACAAATGAAAAAATTCTGTGCAATACCCAATGTATATGTAAGGTTGGTGCTTCAACAGCATAGGCCCTTACCAACTAACAATGCCGCATGACTTAGGGGCTAGGAAGAGTTCATCTGAGAACATTGAGAAGGTGAGAGAAATACTTTCCTGTAAATGTAAGTTATTGATCCAATCAATCTTAACTCTTTTATTCCCAAGACCCGATTGTTAATTGTCCCCACTAGCTGCTACACATTTCCATGTGAATTAGTTACAAAAATTTGATGTTGTATTAAAATAACAAGCTTTATCTGGCGAGGTTTAGTATTCTTTTATGAAGTTAATCATTTCTGTAAGTTTAAGGGCTAACAGTGGAAGATTCAACTTGTTAATAGAAGATTTCAGGCTCCTTAACTTTGGGCCTTTCTCCTGGGTCACTGAATATCAATTATAGAAGCATGAATAAAAGAGAAAACCAGCTCAGTTACAACTTAATTAAAAACCATGAAAAATTAAACCATAATTATTTCATTCTGTCATTGAATACAGTATATAAAATCACACTATTTAAAAATTAAGTTACTATTAATAGTGGCAGAATTCACTTTCAAATGTTATGTTAATCAACTGTACATTGAAATATTGGAAGATGTCCTTGATAATTTAATTCTGGGTGTATATTAAACATTGAATCAGATGGGAGCTAGTATATTCTGGGTACAGGACAAGTTGTAATCAAACTGTAATGGTCAAGTGTTACAAAAAGCCAGTTCTCATTTTGAAAGAGCGACAAGCTGACTTGTTGCAGCCTAACCCTATTAAAAGGAGCGCAATTAATCTGTGTAAACACCCACAATGGTGGACTGCACAAAGTTCTTGTTACAGATCACACATTTTGTTGAAAAACAATCATTTCTTACTTTTTTCATGTAATTCTTTTTAATAATACAACTATTGCAATAATATACTCAGACATTTCATGATGCTTTTCAAAGAGAAATAATTACTCAAATAAAGTAGATATTTATTTTCCTTTTCAGTTTTGTGGTTTCTACACTTGGTCTCAATTCACAATACCTCCTTCTACTTGGGTTACATTTTAAACCCTTTTTCTTAAGTATAATTGCCTACATTGTGCATGGATAAGTAAAGACTGAGAACAACAACAACCCGTTCGAAGGTTATGTTACCTGGCTGCATCAGTAAGGACATTACACAATGGTAGCTAATGCATCAAGGACAATGCCAATCAGAAACCTTTTTTTTTTTTTTTGGAGCTCCATAATTTAGGTTTAATCAGTTTTCAGATTGCTGCCAGATATGTCTTTGAATTACTATGATTTTAAGTTCACTGAGGAATAACAGTAGTGACCACCTTTTGACATCAAAATCTTGTTGTCAAAGGCAACTTAAGCCCCATTTTCAGTGGCAACATGCCATTTAATTGATCTTTTGATAGGCTTCCATGTTTGATAGTTGGTGACACACAGGGCATTCATGCAATCACCACTGGAATTGAGGAAAGTTTGCCCGTGATCAACTGCAAGTCATTTTACAGTCAAAACCCGCACCTAACTGATGATCATTTTACTGTGACATGACGGTCTCCAGTTCTAAATGAAACATCAAAGAGCCAATCACATTGCTGTCTTGCAGAAGATAGCAAGGAAACCAACTGAATTTCATAGCCATGTGCACAGCTATTGGTTTTTCTGATCAAGTTCTTTGTTTCAAATTATTCTCATCATATTGGCTGTCATACTTGTTGTTGTGCAAGGTCCCTTTCTATCTAACTTATTTTGTATCAAAAAAGTGTGCTGGTATTTTACATCATCGTGCCAGTTGTGACAAAAATATTTTACAATAGTATACTTATACTACCTCACAAATATCCACTTTAGGTGGAGTAGAAATATAGAATACTGATACAATATGTCAATGGCCCAAAGGCCTACAGTTTCATGTGCTGATAATGCACATAACTAATATCTAAATTGTCAAAAAGAACAATGGAAACCTTACTCTAATTTTTTGGATGGTCTGGGACGGAGGGTTGATCAGATTTACTCACTTCAAGTTGCCTAATTGATTGCAACCCTTAAGAAACTTATCTAAGAGAGTTCTGGGTTCATTCTGAAAAGGGACCCTTCAAAAAGAGAGAAAATATCTCATCAAGGGAAGTGAGATTGGCAAAGAGAAAGGTAAAGGTGCCCACAGACCATCTGATAATCAGGCAATTACCAAAAGGAAAGATATGATAAATCAGTGTCTTTATATTTAAAATGTGTTATATATTAAACTGCTATCTCATGGAATGAAATTGCTAAATATATATACTACAATTAACATCTTTAAATAGTCATTGTTCAGTGAAGTTCAAATTGCTAACTATTTTCATTAGTAAATTTCCATGTTTGACGAGATTTTAATGCATCTTGAATACATGATTTGTCAACAATCTATTCAAAATCTGCAAATTATCAAAGTTAATCTCACACGTATAAATAAAATATTGCTCACTTTACCATAAATAACCTTTGTTACAAAATGAGAGATAAAAAAAGAAAGTGCCTTAACCTACAGAGGGGACTGAGAATTAAAAAAAAAATTGAAGAGAGATTTAAAATTTAAACGAGATGTTAATGGTATCTAAGCAATAAGCATAGACATTTAGCTACTCTTCTAAATTTTATATGCATTAAAGGAATAATAATTTTACATGGAGCTTTTATGGCATTAAAATTCTACATCACAAACTAAGCTGCCTTCACATTGACTGAAAATCACACACACTATTCTGTGTATGTGAAGACTTGGATTGAAACAAAGACAACAGCAAAAGTATACCTGCCAACATTCAATTTCTCTTTTATTCTCGAGATTTCCTTATAGCCTTGCCTTTTAAAAATACTGAAAAATTACTAAAGATCTTCATTCTAACAACTACAAAAGTAGATGTTCACTGTACTTTTTTCAATGACATGTAAACTATGGATTTAGACTATACCACAGGGGGTGTTAAGGACTATTCCATCAGTGGCTGCCAATGGCATAATCAATGGCTATATGGCAAAACCCAAACAAGAGAGCCTGGTCACAGGCTAAAGAGACAGCAGAAAGAGGTCTTACTAGTGGCAGTAGACTGCAGGTAACTGACTTTTATTGAAACCCCTGCTACTGTCAACCATGTTGCAGATCTCCTGAGCAACCAGTGATGTTTCAGAGGATTTACTATAATGTCATGCTCCTAAATAGTGACTGACAGATTTCAATTGATATGATCCCTTTTGTCTTCTTTTAAAATTCCATTATAATTGTAGTAATTGCCAGCAGAGTGAAACAACAATTGCAAGTTTGGCCTGAATGTTGAAGTTACAATGCTGTTTAAAGGTGCAGAGAAGTGCAAAGAACACAAGTCATGTGACAGATTGGTGGCTAGCACATGAGAATCAAGGTCCCACATGGAGGAGGCAGATGAGTTCAGTTTTACAGTTGACAGGTATACCTTATGCAATTTGCCAAACTAATTCATTGTCAAGCGGGCTAATAAAATCTCTGAACAAATTTGGAGCTAAAGATAACATGCAGCACCTTGTTTATAGACACTAGTTTAAAAACAGAAGATATAAATTGAGCATGGTAAACTGTGTCTAAAAATTTAAGTTGTAAACACAAATACATGCCAAAGTCCAGCTAGACTGTATGTGTTCACACCTGGACTACAAAGTGTTTATATTCAATTGTCATGGATTCTTGTTCCCTAATTAATACAAAATTAATTGGTGTACTTAACTTGCTAACTCTCACTTCATTGGGAGTGATTCTCACCCCTTTGTGTAAAAACCTTTGATCTCACACCAGCTAATGCCCTGTGAACCAGGTCTTCATACCTACTGCAATTTTCATCTGAGGGAGGTGCGATTAAAGTTGGAAACCGCATTTTGACATTTAAACTGTGTTGGTGTCACAGGCAACTGACTCTGTTTCCAATGGCAATGTGTTGTCTAACTTCTTTTGGCAGGCTTTCACTTGACAACACCATTACAAAATCAGCCACTAAATATTTCATGCTCTTCACTCAACTGATAATTGTATATATATATATTAGAACTTCTTTGCTTGACTCCTCTTCTACAATTACATGAGGTAAAAAAAGGGTCAATTAGCCAGGAGGAAAAAAACTCTGGTTTGTCTTGTGAAATTTTTTTGGAAAGACCTTGGAGGTCTGTGGACATCTTGAAGTACAAAACTGATTGTCAGATCCCATTGACATTGTAAAAAGTTGGCAAGTGTATTATACCTTGGACTTGTCCAAGTTGTTATTCATTTAAACAGCAAAAGGGAATTCAGAAACCCATCACTGGATTTCTTAGTCTCCTGCAAGTGACTCAACAAATTTTGAAAAGATTTTTCTTTCAAACTAGTTTATATCATAATTTTCCGGTGAGAATATTGTTTACCTAAATATTCTTAAGATAAAAATCTCATTTAAAATGATGTTTCAATGTGCTGCAACTGAATAAACCAATTTAGTCAGCTGCCAGACAGCAAATATTTTAAAGAACAGGAAATTAACCTTACAAAATGAATGAATGAAAATAACCCAGCTGATTCAATAGATCATGAAAGACACGCGGAAATTAAGTTAATATGTAAACTCACACAAACACATTACACACATTTTGAAGCTGGATGATTCATCTGCTGTACATGAAAGCTGCTAATGTGCCAAGTCCCAGTGTAGTGAGAAAGACACCTTTCCACCAGGCTCCATCTTGGCCTTTGTCATTAAATTGTCTATCGAGGTCTTCCTAAAAGAAATGTCACGATGTTAATTAGTGATAACGTTTACCCTTTACACCCTAATATTAGTGCAGTGGAACCTCAGTTTAAAGAAGTGCCAAGGGACTGGGAAATTGGTTTGTTATTTTGAGGTTCTGTGGTGTACATTTTACTGTAACTTTGGCCATGCCGAAACTGAATTATCATTCATTATACCAAGGACTTCATCATATAGAGGTTCATTAAATCGAGGTCCCACTGTATGCAAGTTCTTGATACATATATCTTATTAACCAAGTGTGAGGGCCGTACTGGGAGAATATCGGCCTGAGGTCTTGACAGTATGGACCAAGCGCAGCAAGGTCCGTACAAAAAAGACCGAGGGCCGATATTCTTCCAGTACAGTCCCGAGCAAGCTTGGTTAATGAGAGATTTATTATATGACTGAAGTTCAAAGGGATACAAGTGCGGTATCATTCAGGACAGTGCCTGGTCCAATACTGAGAGAATATTGACCGGCAATAGAGCATTTTGATTGGTCGCCTTTAGTTATTGGCCCTCTGACTGACCGAGTCGTGTAATAATGTTCTTTATATACTTCCTACCATTATACTTATAAAGAGAATTTGTGCAACAATCAATATCTTCATTTGATTGGTGATCGTTTCCTCTGTTCTCAAGACCTTAATGTGTGATTCAGGGGTGATATTGTAAGGAGAAATTAGATGCTAGTCACTCTAAGGGATTACGGGGTTAAATAATGGAAGGGAGACAGCGTGGCCGAGTGGTTTGGGCACTGGGCTTGTAACCTGGTGGGTCCAGATTCAAGTCCTCCACCCTGCTACTCAGTGGACTTTCTTCTCTGTTGCCTCAAGTTTAAACCTTTTTGCTATACAGCCAATTGGTCGGCCCCCTGCCAGTTGGAATTTTTAAACACTATGTTTATTTACAATATTTGTTTCTACTTTGTTTGTTTTCATCTGGCCTACCCTGGTAAAATGAAGTGTATAAAAATTATCATTGTTATTACTATTGTTATCAATTTTATTGTTATTATCAAAACATTATTATTGATATCATTATGATTACTATTAGGATTACCACACCACATGGTATAGTTACTTGTTATTGAACATGCATGAGCTCACAAACATTAAGCTAGATATTGGCTATGAAAGTTCTCTTTTATGTTTTGATAGACTGTACGACCAATGTTCAGCTGTCTTCATTGAACATGCTAAGTCAATACGGGATTTATTACATTGCAAAAAGAATAAACAAAAGAAACTCATTACGGTTTTCTATTTTTGCCAGTCATCAAGTCATGCTTCGTGACTGAATTGTTTTCAAAGCTTATAGACAAATGTTTTCTTGACAGAGAAAATGTGTCCTAAAGTCACAGTGTTGAAAGCAGCCACAAATAATTCTCATGTTATGTGCCATAAAAGCCTGCAATTCTGAGAGGGGCAAGATGGAACATCTAGCAGAGGGGAAAGATGGAACATCTAGCACATTCTAATCAAAACAGTAATTCTCCTTTTTGTCTGCCACACATTTTTTTTCAATGTAAGTTGTGAGAATTAAGAGTTGAATCATGTAATAAAACCAAGTGTTTTTTTTCTCTATATTTATTGCAATCACCTGTCTACTGGAGACTGTATTCATATGGTATAAAGGAAAATCACTTCTTGGTCTCTCTTGAGAGTGAAAGGACTAAAGCTGGATGCTAATCTTCAAATCTTCTGAACAAAATTGAGTTCCATTTACATGATTTGTAGCATTTGAAAATGGTAAAACGACAAACAAGTTACTATGTGATTATACGACTGCCAAGTTTCAGCAATCCAGTTTATTTCCTGTCAGGCACAGGTGCTTTTGGATCATCAATTACTTTGGATGGTTAATTACATAGCACCTCACATGGTGCCACCCAAAGGAAATCTAAAAGCTGCAGATAACTGATTTGGATCATGTCTCTGTACCACCCCCTCCCCCGAAAAAAAGGGCTTTTAATCACTTCATCCCAGTCTTGAAATTGATGAGAGTTACCTATAATCAAAGAAAATTCACAAAAAGTACCACTATTGTCGTGCTGATAATCTAAAAGTTTCTTGACAGATTAAATTCCCTTAACTTTTGCTCATTTTCAGATAAAAAAAAACATGTTCACTTTAGTAGATTTAGTGAGCTATGCTGCATAACAAAAGATTTGTTCTTCATTTACATGATTAGTCAATATTAATCTATGAGAGATGGGATATATTTAGAGATAAAATCTGACCTAACAACCATAAACGTCCCTGTGACGCCTAATCAAAAGAATCAGTGGGCTTCATGAAATCATCCAAGTAATAGACTACCTCAGACATCCAAGCTAACTTTTTCCAAAACATTTAAATAGGAGAGTTCATCACAATTTGTAAAAATCTTCAAAGCAGTCTTAACTTTAATCTGAACTAGTTGTTTTCAGCTAAACAAGAAGTCAATACTGTTTATTCTTTCGGTAATTGCATAGTTTCCATTGTTTACATGAATGCCTGAACTGTTCAATATTGCTGTGGTTACCTTTATTAAAAAGCGCTTCTCATGCCACACATAATTTGTTTTAAAGAGTCTTTACGGAGAAGTTTCTAGATTATTAGAACACTGAAAACAAGACCGCACAAGTCCCATCAATTGCACGAAAACGAAAGCTACGACAATATGCTGTGATTAACTGTATAAGATTCCAAAGAATTTGACACATCTGCCACTGAAAGATCACGACTGTGCTTGGAAACTGCTTTCTCAGCACTTTCGCCCCCTTAATCACTGACCACCCCACTTAGAATTATGATTTGTCTCTTATGATACGCTCTACGCTAAGTTGAGTCAACATTTTCTGGAATTATCCACAGAGTGGCAGTGAGGTGATTTTCGAGAAGGTCGAAGTTTATCATTGGAATGATAGATCATTTCAACTATTCTTCCACCCATGCAACGACTTTCCTCAATCAGTGGGAAAAATTCTAAAAATGTTCACATCGAACAAAAAAACACGCTTAGCAATTAGAGTTCTTTTGTTCGAATATTTTTACTATTCGAAGCTTAGGATGTAATGACGTCAGAATCTTCGAAACTTTTCCGTCTCCAAATGATTGGAAGAAAAGCGCCTTTCATTATTTATGTACACCAGTCAGTAGCAGCTGAAAACGACACACAATCTTCAACCTTTCTTTGTTTACGAAAGAATTTCGAATTATTACGACCCTCCAATGTCAGTCGCCGGGGTTTTAAAAATATACAAGCTGTATTTAATGTGGTTAATTTTTTCCTCGGGTTCAAGCACACAAGAGTTAAACAAAAATTCAAAATAAGGCAGTACAAAATAGATCACATTAAAACTAGGTACCTACCCATCCACCATGGTTTTCGATCCATTCACAAAGGCCGCCAACATATCTTCCGACCCAGTCAGTTACTGATCCAACAAGATCTTTCATATGGTGTTGATCGCAATACACAGCCAGCTTTCCTCCAAAGGCATACAAGGCTACAATTCTTCCCCAGTTTATTCCATCTACAAATACCTCACTGGCGATTTCAAAAAACGTTTGATAGACAGTTGCTGGAGTTATGTTTAATTTGTGGCACAAATGGTTCAATAGTAAAGGATATTGCTCTTCGATTTGATCGGCTAGTTTGCGTAGAGTAGAAGCAGTAGGCGATACGGGAATTGGGTTCTCTCCAAGTCTGTAAGATATAAAATCTTTGGCTAAATCCTTGGCTTGTTGGGCGATTGGCGAATCTTCCACATTGGGCAGTTTGTGTCGGCTTTCCATTGGGCTTTCAATTTTTAAAGCATTTACTCGAACAGACCACACGCACTTTCACTATCGTACCTTCCTTCGCACTATGAAGTCTTCGTTGTGTCCTGTTCGAAAGGCCTTTCTTCGCCCCATCTGCCTACAAAGCGAATGTAAATGGTAAGAAAATAAAACAGAAATAGCAGCTTTCGAAAAGATGAAGGATTTGGAAGCTTTGACGCTTTCGAAAGTGAGCGGATCGTAATATTACCTTCCTCCATCTCCTAAAGCCACAGAGCCGAACAGAATTCCGAAATCTGTGAATATTTATAACCGTGTCAAGGGATTTAAAATTACGGTGATCTCATTGGCTAACATCTTTGACAAGATTGTCTCATAGAGCATAGTTGGTTGCGGGGGGCGGAAGAATGGGATTCTGGGATAAAATATGCTGTCCATACACAAGGGCCAGTATCAGACCAATATAGGTCTTAAAAAGTATCAGACCGATATAGGTCTTATTCCAGCAAAGATGACATCACGCGGGACACGCGTGCCAAATGTGCTTTCGCGGCAAAACACACTCTCTTCACATGCCTAATCAGGCCCTGTTTTCAGCCCTCTGATTGGTTGGATAAGTAGCTCCGTCAAGGTTATTTTTACCACATTTTTCTGGGTGTTAAAAATTTTCTTGAAGAGCCGGCAACTATTGTTTGTTTCAATTTACTTGCGAAGGCGGCGAGACGACATCGAGCAGCGAGGAGATCTAATCTTTGATTAACCATTCACCGAAATAATTTCTACCGTTTGATACAAATTCTAAGGGCCACAACCTTTCCCAAGGGAAGATACGCAGTTTATATTGCCACCGTTTTGACGATTTGCACGGCTGTTTTGTTTCCGATATACAACAAGAGAAGTGGTTTCGCCGTTTGCCGGCTGAGTGGGCCGCTGAAAAGGATATTTTGTACAATAACAATCGTCCCTTGCGATACGTTTCAGTAGCTCGCAAACGTAGTTTGATTTTAAAGGACGGCTCGAGAACTGAGTACTGCTCCAACTAAGAAAGCCCCAGCTGAAACTTATTCGTGACTGCTCCTTGGAGGTTCGTAACGGTTGGAATCAGAAAAACAACTGTGTTGTACTATAAACAGACAGAAACATGGAATCGTCTCTAAGCAGAATCACAGCTACTAGTGACGTTTATTTAGTCGAGCAAGAAGACAATTTGAGAAGGAGAAGAGAAAATGAGAACAGTTCGCGATCATCGGACCATGTGGAAAACCGCCAACAAACTGTGACGCAATTGAATTTAGCGGAGATTTTGTCAAATAATAACAATGTAACTCCGCAGCAAGTTGGCCAGATCCTTCAAGCCATTGGCGACGAGCTCAATAATGCGTTCAAATTTCAAATGAGGAGCAGCAAGAACGGATAAATGGAGTAGAAGAAGGTCGGACAAGAAGGTTACAAGAAGTTGAACATGACCGAACATTCAGAGCGTTTCGGTAGGAGCTTCATTTACATGTACCTAAGGTTCCATAAGAACCTTTCGCTTTATGTTATGTGCGATATTAACTTGTACTGTCGCTATTTTTATCTGCCATCGACAACGTGGAACTGTTTTCAATTCAAAAATTGACATGCCCTTGGGACGTGAGCTGTCATTGCGACGGTCGGCTACCAACTTGCGATTGGCCAGACCTTGAACTTCACTATGTGCAGATCGATGTCGTATGTCACCCCCGAATTAAAAATCCCTATGGGATAAATCTCTTGAAGCAGTTCTGTGTTTCGAAATGTACTTTTGATTGTAAAGGCAGCGGTAAATTGCAATACATTGTCGTTAGAACCGTTTGGCAGTAAAGATCGGTGCCACTTGTAAATATAATGTAATCGACGCGTAGAAACCAGATAGATGTCGGCCATTGTCATGTACATTTGTAAATTCTGTTTATAAAACTTAGTTGCAGATAAAGATTAAGAAATGCTATTGTAATAACAAACAGATATTAGATCGGATAAGTTATTTTAAAACGCTGTACTTGTATAAAGCTAAAGATTATATTTAATATCGGCCGGAAATTGGACGTGTGTCATTCGTGCGTACGTGTTTTGTTTTGTACTTTGCGTGACCACCTGTTGTCAGTTTCGAAACCACTTGTTTGCAACAATAAACAACTAAATCTTTACTGCTATTACAGTTTTTTATATCTTGATTGATGACTCTGAATATTTCCTTTTCGTTGATTCCGAAATCTAAACCAAAAATAGCTAAATGGGACGTTCACCTTGTTTGATTTGATCCATTGTTTACCTCCCAATCCTCGATTTACATACTCTATTTGTCACTATTGAACCCTGACCATTTTCGTTTTATTGCACGAGGACTGCACGAACAGATATGAATAACAGAGCCTGATTGGTAGCAGCAATTGAAAGTAATTGGAATAAAGTTCGATTCTTTTCGCCTCATCAAGTAACATTGATATTGGCAGGATTTCAAATTTTATAAATTTTACTTTGAATCCCTTAAAAATCGTCTGAAGGTTTTAAACCTATATTGTTGCCCCCTCTCCAGAGGAACCTGAAGGCGGTCACCTTATCATTCAGCGGCTTTGTGGACTAAGTTCTTTCCCTCTTCAGAAAGGGGCAGGAAAGTGGCCATGAGATCCTTTTCGACCCTATAGGTGTGAACCATTTTTCAACTGCCTCATGAAAGCGAAATCTACTCTTCATCAATATTTTATCCGCTTAAAATCATATATATTCACTCCCTCTCAGTGGAGTACTGATTCCAGGGGGTGCTTATTTCATATCTTGTACCTCAACGCTGATCGAAGATTTGTCTGTCAAGACTGGCATCAAGAGAGTGTTGCTTTTTCAGGGACGCAACGACATTACCTGGAGCAGTTTCTTAGCGCGGTTATGCCCCCCCCCCCCCCATCCAACTCCTGCACTTAACGAGTTCGCAAAGACTCAAGGAGTGTCCTCTTGTGCCGCTCTCGTTTAGGTTCCCTCCCGAGAGGAGAGCGGTGGGGAGAAGAGACTAGCTGAGGGGCGGCACGAAAGATGGTCGCCTTGCGGGTTAGAAAGAAGAATACGTAGCTTCTGAACGGCTATATTTATCTTATATTGGTACCCTGGATTCGTCATCGAACTTTGCTTGGTCCTCACCTGCATAGACACCGTTTAAACGATGCGCCGAAATCTCTCTCTAGTCGGAATTTGTTTGTCACGATAAAATTTACTGACTCTGAAATATTCTTATGACGGTCCTCTCCATAGGCAGTCAGTTACCTTTATCCCCCATTTATATTCTCTTGGCAACTACCGACCCCCCACCCCTTGTTTCCCCAGAAAACCATACGATTCCCCACCTCCTCCAAGGAAAATGATGACTAGTCTCTTACCTTCAGATGAAATCAATCATCCGTATTTTTTATCTGGTGTTTGTGAAAAAGAAAGGTTTTAACAAATATTCAGGGCATTAATCTAGAGAACTATGACTTCCGTTCACGTGCACCAACTTCGTTTTACTTGTTGTTTAACTGGTTGATTTATTTACACTATTCGGTTCACGATTTTGCGGACGTTGCCATTTAGGAAATCCATATATTAACAATAATTATAACAATAATAAGAATGAATAACGAATCAATGAATAGTCTCTAAGGCCCGGTTCAGACGCCGATCTTTTCATGAGCCGAACCTAATTCCTTGAATTAAGTACATGAAAAGATCGACGTCTGAATCAATTTGGAACGGCTATTTCAATTTGGAACGGCTCACCCGTTCTTCCCGAGGCCGAGAATTTCGCCTGTAGAACTCCTTTGGAACGGCGTTAATTCAGACGCCGTACTTTTCATGTGCCGATCCTAATGCATAAATTGTCTTAATGTATTTTGCAAGCAGTTTGACTGGTTTTACTGGAACTGAATTTGGAACGGCCGAAAAGAACGGCGTCTGAATCAGCAGGCGTACTTTTGTTAATTTGGGTCGGTCCAAATTCGAATTTAGTTCGGCTCATGAAAAGTTCGGCGTCTGAACCGGGCCTTAGAACTACAACGTTCTTTCGCTGTGCGTCAGTAGGCCAGCGAGTCACGGTGTTTCAAAAGCGGATAACTTTCTTGGTAACGCCCAAAACGAAAGGTACATCAAACTGATACCCGTACTTGAATAAGTCTTGTAATCGAAATGCGTCAAGTTTTTTTCCCTACTTTTGTTTCCTTTTTTACCGATTTCTATGAATTTTTTAATTTTCTTTCGCTTATCTTGCGAGAAAGCGGTTGTTTTTTAGCTTCCTTTTCAAATTCTTAGCGGAAAATATGCGTGCGGCCAGCCAGAACTGATCCCCTCACGCATTCCCGACGTTTGACCGCTATGTTATCGAGTCCAGTTGGTCCCTGTAGCGAAGGCCCAGTACCAGAGCTGCTGTTTTCGGGCCTTTTTCCAAAGACGATGTGTGTACAAAGATGGATACTTTTAATTTTAATATAGCTTTTTCTTTGTATGACAATTTCTTAGAGCTAACGTTAAATTCTTAAGAATGTTCTAGACAGCATATCAATTTATCAGACTATCGCTTAGCTACGAGCATCTCTTCATTTTCTTTTACTTAGGATAAAAATTAGTCTCCATTTTTAACTTATTCCCTATGGGTAACGACGAATGTTGTCGTAAAAATTTAACTGCCCGAGGGATTTAGAGCTTATTTCCTAGACTTTCCTGGAGTTTGGAGGTCAAATTTACACATTCTGACGTCAAAAACTCCCGGAAACTCCTCGTAAATACTTTTCCATGGGGCAGAGGCAGTGGATGCATAAGTACACTTCGTCGCTATTTATAAAACGCCTATCGAAAGAGTAGTAGGTCTTAGATATAGCACAAGGTTTTGACGGTGAAAGTCCAGTTCTAGTAAACCGAACCAAGGCGAAAAGGCAGCACTAAAAATCCTTTGACACCTCAAGCTGCCGAATCAACATTGGTTGTAGAGTCCGTTGTTTCAGCTCTGTTCTTGTGTTTGTAATGACTGCTCAATAGTCCTTTTAGCTGGTCTTCTGGGAGAGTGTGGTAAAAAGAGAGATGTCGAAAGTCTTCAGACAAGTCGTTCTCAAGCATACTAATAAGATACACAAAAGTCGGTCGGGCTTTGGGAGTAAACTGCCAGCAAAGAGTCATCATCTCATAGCTGAAACGAAAGTGACAACATGAATGTCACAAGTCAATAAGCAGGTATACTTTCAAATTTCTGTCAGAACATACGAGGAAAAACGAAACTCGAAACTCTCGGCATGCGTGAACCCTTTTTACCGTCACTCAGTGTGCATATTCTCTGTAATATTCTCCATACATTTTCTAAGGCACTAGCGAGGAGAATTGGTTTAACAATCACTGGCTGGAGCTTCTTTAGTTGATGATTATTTCCTTTATTCTCGTGACCTTAAGCGTGTGATTCAGGGATGATATTGCAAGGAGAAATAAGACTCTAGTTACTATTTAGTTTGGCTTTGAAATTCATAGGATGAGAATTTTGAGGGCGATAGAGCGTCACAGCGTCACAATTTAAAAATCTTTAAAACTTCAATACAGTAACTTTGAAGTAATCATTGAACAAATCCGTGGGAAACTCGTTTTTCTTTTTACCCTGTCTAACCCTTGTCTCTCTTTGGTTGGATTAATAAATACTTAGTGTTTTTTTTTTTTCTCTCATACTCGGCTAATTTTCCTGTTCGCAAATAATTGACTCAAAATGCTGTGAGGCAGCTCAAATGTGACATCGACGTTTTTAAACAAAAAATGCCAAACCAGATACTATGCATACACTAACAGTCAGGTGACTTACAGCCTATCAGGGCATTCCTCGGGTTTCTCCATCACTTCCCCGTCCACTACATATTTAAGAACTTCTTCATTGGACTTTCCAGGATAAGGTTGGGCTGCCAAAGTAGCCATCTCCCACATCACCACGCCAAATGACCTAAAACAGGCAAAACTTACACATTATCATTTACAGCGTACTGTTGAGCAGCCCGATAAAGAAAAATAAGTAAGTTTGGCACCACACCTTTTTTTCCCTTTCCAAAAACTCGGTTTGATTGGGTTTGAACAATAGGGCACTTTTTGACTGAAAGTTAGAAACTCAAAACCAAAACAACCACAGCATTCAATCAGAGGAAAGAAAATATCGCGAGGAGCCAATGAGGACTCGAAGTACAAACAAGTAAACTGCTTGAAGCACGGGAAAACACAAGTGACCAAGCCGTGATTGGTTTTAGTTTTGTCTGATTGGTTGAAAATGTGGCGGGAGTTTTCTGGACCAATCACATAACGAAGTAGAGCAAAACCAACGCAATCCCGGATTACTTTCGTGACGCAATTTAAAACTGCGCTTACTAACAACGCATAATCACACAAACATGCAGCGAATACTATCATGCTTTCTCTCAAGCGACCTCTCTTTAACTTACCAAACGTCGCTATAACTTGTAAAGACGCCATCTTTTAAAGACTCCGGCGCCATCCACCGCACAGGAAGCAAACCTAAAGACGGTCGAAATTGTTACCATGAGTAAGTCGAATTTCCTCTAACTTTGGCTACATGCGCAATAGAATATAAAGGAGATGCAAGCTGAGGTTCTTGGCCTCAGTCACCCAGATCGGGACTCGACAAACTTAAGATGCCGGTAAAATGTAAAGGTGATCACTAATAGAGAAGAAATGCATTAACTTAATATAGCTACCTTTTCCTCCTTTTCTGTAGTAGTCCGTTTCGTAAATATCACGGGTCATTCCAAAATCTGTTAAGGAAATGATACTGTTACTCATTTAAAAGGTTCATACTAGCAGGACAGCGAATACAGCAAGAACACATCAAGGACAAGACGACCAAACTCGAATACATGAAAACCTCAAGGAAATCGAATGACCAGAAACTCACCTCCTATTTTAACAGTGAAATCTGCGTTCACCATGCAGTTTCGTGCCGCGAGATCTCTGTAACAAAAGAAGTACTCCGTTAGAAAAGGTCGTAATTCTAACACGCCAAGAAAATATATATACATGTATATACATCTTTCACCTAGAAAAATGTCACGTTCTGAGTTCGTAAGACTTGACTTTTAGAACTAGGAATGGCTCACGCCTTGACTTAGCTACCCTCTTTTGATTAAAAAATTTCAAGAACAAAGTAAGACGCTGGGTAGCTGTCCCCAGGTCAAGCAGTTCACACAAACTCTCTGCACTTGCAAGGCAACTATGCGGTATAAATCCTACCTGTGCACATATTTTCTAGCCGCAAGATACGCCATTCCATCGGCAATCTCTCCAGCCATTTGGAGAAGTTCTTGAAGCGTTGGAGGTGGTAGAGTTCCTTCCTGTTTAATAATAACAAAAATATAAAAAAATCAATATGATCAAAATTAATAGCGCATGATCCCAATTCTATGCATTATTCCATGCACAGCACCCTTAAGTTCGATTGTCCCGTGCCTTTTCTATTTCATTGAACTCCACGAGATTTATCGTCCTTCCCAAGATTCTACCTTACACATAAAATTAGCCATCTTTGATGTTCGTCTCCCCCTCACCAAGGCAGTCTCAGCTTATCTTTTGTTTGTCCTGTGCTTGTGAGAAATGTTCAATAGTTGCAACAGTTGTTATCATTGTTATCATCACTGCCATTATTTTTTTGTTCAATTGTAAACAAATCACTCGTTTTTACAGAATTATATCTGTTCCCTTTGTTATCAGTTTTCCTTACGGAATGTTACGTAACTTAACCGTGTTTATCATATCTCTCAGTTAGTACGTGCGCTATGATTGGTCAATTTAGCGGGCTGTATTTTACTGTACGGCCCGCTAAATTCAATAGTATTTCGAAAGATATCTTTCCCTTCTACTTGAGATATAATAAAATTCTTACTAACGAAGATACTTCACCTCGAACTCGGTTAGTAAGAGGAATAAATCTATATTCAGTTTTTCCTATAATTTGTGCTGTGTGAACATTTTTAGAAGATTCAAGGCTGGTTAGATTATATTTTTAAAACTCCGTTTTTTTTTTCTTTAGCACAACACTAGGTTTTTAGATAACATTTTAAAGTTCTGATTGTTCGTTAAAACCTCAGATCTTACCCCAGGCCGACGAGACCGTAAGAAGTTCTTAAGATCTCCCAACTCCATTAGCTCCATAATAACAAGAGTAGGTTGTCCTTCTGAGACCACACCCAATAACCTTACCACGTGGTTACCACAGAATTGTCTGAAAAGAAAGCAACAAAATGTATCATGGTTAGTCCTTGGAAAGATTTCAGAAATGTGATAGTGTAATTCGTATGAATGGTAACGCGACAAAAAGTATCAAAGAGATCATTCAATTTCATAATTTTATAACGCATGTCTGAAAAAAAGAGTTTGAAATTATTTTCTTCTGTTTTATTTGCCGAGACTTTCCATTGCACAATCTCATTTTTGCTTTGCTTACATCACTCCAATTTCAGGAGTTTTTAGGAACTTCATATTTAATATCTGCTTATGACCCTATAATTACAGGCTCTTTTAATTGCCACAAAGGCGTCAATCGCTACAGAATGCACCAATACAGTGAGTAAATTGGACCTGAAAAAAATGAAGACAAATAGTTGCACTGAAAAGCTAAACACAACAATTTATAAACCCTCACTTCATAACAGACGCCTCTTGAAGAAATTCCACCCTGTCTCGAATCGACGCGTTTTCACTTACAGTCTGTAAAAAGGAAAATAACACATTGAACAATCGACGACTTCTTTAACCCTTTCATTCCCAAAATCTCTTTAGTAATTCTCCATGCTGTCTGAGAATTTCTGAGAATTAAATGTTGGATCAAATGGCAGTCCCATAGCTGACATTTTTCTTTATTCTCATCAGGAGAAATTCTCTCTTGGTCACTCATGAGAGTTAAGGGTTAACAGCGACTAAGTAAACGCAAGAAACAAGCCATAGGAAATTAGCTTTGCGTATGATTGGTTGAGTACAAAACTAGATATTCTAAATCAATAACCGCAGCGAAACAAAATCAAAGCAATAAACCGTTCTCCGCAAACGCCACATTGATTAAGAATTCATTATCAGATTAAATGGAGCACTTTTCGATGGAGTGTTTAAATCCAAACCAAAAAAATCACAAAAGCAAGTTAAAACCAAGCAAACTGTCTAAAGCGCGGGAAACGCGGCTGACCAGGACGTGCCTGGTTTTAGTCCCGAATCTGATTGGTTAAGACGATGGTTTGAGTTTTTGGGCCAATCACAGACGATTACCGTCGACAGCCAATTCAAAAATGCGTATGATGGAGTCATCTAAAAAGGTCGCTGGTCTTCATATTCAGCCTCCATGTTGGAGCAAAGTAACCATTTGGTGGTTAAATTTTGAGTGTGGAAACAAATTACAAGTATTAAAAATGCTCTAAATGACAAAATCATTGAGTTGGAAAACTGTCATCGTTAATTTTCCTGTATGAATCCTTTACGCCTGCTTTTCCCCAAATTTGTTCTACATCAAATAACAGAAAGAAAGCAAGCTGATGTTTTACCTTGACCGCCACTCTGCGCATGCGATCACCAGGGGTAATATCTTCAGCCTCTCCTTCGTAGACCATTCCAAAGGAACCATTTCCTAATTCACGAACCAGTTTGATCTTCTCTCGTGGGAATTCCCATTCATCAGGAATGTACACTGCAATCGCAAAAAACACGGGAATCAACAAAGTTTGAAGGAAATCTCTGTTGCACTTACGCACGCGTAAATATGGTTGGCACATCTCCTGGTTGCGAAAAGGATCTCCCGGCCTCCCATACAGCTAGTGGAATCTCTTGAATCTCTCAAAGGCAAAGGAGATATATAGTATGAAACTTCCATTCATAAAAAGAAAAGTAATTAGGTTTTCTCCTTCAGGATATATTTATATTTCCCCACCCCACCCTTCCTTCTAGAAATTTTAAATTTTTGGAAATTGAATCCGTTATCAGTCTGGTCTGGTCACGCTACACGCTCTACAGAGGAAGAGACCATAAAAAGTAAGGGTGGGCTGGGGATAGGGGTGTAATCTAAAATGAAAATTTCGAATCCAAAAGGTTGGCATCTCTGCATATGCTGTGAGACTCACCGAGTCAATGTACTTGCAAGTGATCTTCCAAACTGTTTGAGAGACAACAGGAAAAAAAGAGAGAAATCTTTGAAGAACAAATTATCCCCTTACCGTCAGTTGACGTCATGTACTCGGGATTAACAGAAGCATAAAGTACACCTGGAATCTGTTCATCGCTATACCTGGTGTAATCAAACAAAGCATTAGAAAAGAGGCCATAGAGAAGGCAAGCGTGTGATGCTCTATTTGGAATATACTCATAGGAATCTTTGTTGTAAGGATCGCGCACAGTTTGACTGAGTTTTAACAGATAACAGCAAGACCTACTGCAGGGTAATTTTAGACTTGAGCTTTTCTACAGGGAGCACAACTGTTGGATAAAACAACTGTAAGGAGTGCATTTTCTTTCATTTGCATCAATTCCCTTTCATTCCTTTTTTCTTCGATTACACGACATTTGCGGGCCGAAAATGGTGATTCATTGAAATTCTGTATCCTCGGCTATGAGTCTACCCAAGTCTTTTCGATTGGTTCGCCTTTCTGACAAGTGTGTTAAAGTTTTTCAAAATAGAACCAAGAATTAGTCATTCGTGTGAATTCAATGTTGAAGAATCAGTTACTGTTACCATAGCAACAGTGAAAAGTGCTACCTCACCTCTTGTATCTCTGACGAGCAATGTACCACACAACAAAACCGCACGCTAACACGAACACGACACTCGCAGCCAAGCTGGCCCCCACTATGTTTCCTAGGGACAAAGCATCTTTTTCCCCGATGGGTGTATCTGCAACAAAACACAAAAATAATTTGATTAAAACTTTGTCAAGATTGTGTTCTCACCTAACACCAGTACCCAAGCCAGTACCCAAGCCAGTACCCAAGCAAACCAAAATTAGGGTTAGGTTGAAAAACGTCTAGTCTCCATCGCAGTCTTCCCTTGAGACGTCATGCACTTTCACCTCTCCTCTTACAGGAAGGGCTGCGTGTGCATCCAAAGCACTGCTGCAAATAAGTTGGGGAGCCGGCTTGTGAGTTAGCACCAATTCCTCTCCAAAAGCGTTTTAATCAGTTTCCTGGATATTTACCTAGAAACACTTGGTTTATTGTAACTACAATCCCTGTTGCGGTCGTGTTTCAAGTCAGCCTTCTGACCGAACTGGTACCGAATGGACCGATGGTTATTAAACAGACAGTTCTACTTACGGCCAATTAACAAACCCTTATCCACACACCCCCACCAGTTCCCTCACTTGGTTCGCGTTGGAATGGGGAAGACTGGGAACAACTTCGTTATGTAACATGTGGTTACTCTTAAAAAATCCACTAACTAATAGGAAGTTGTTGATCACTGCGGCTATACGGATCTTTTACGAGTTCTCAAAAGCCCCACTTTCAAAAAAAGCCATGTGCCAAAATTTTCTTAGCAATTAAATGCTGCCGTGTAAAAGAAATCGTTTTAAAAACAGACTTAATATTGTTGTAAAACAGAGGTTTTGATCATCTCGGAAATGGCTTAGTGGGAGGAAGTACTGCAAAGCAAGCGCTACAGCTTCACGATGACTTTGGAGGAAGAGGAACCGAATCACAAAAACATCTTTAAACTTACCTGTGAGCTCCGGTTCAATGAAATACGAGAAAGATACAGCGTTACTCCACGATCCGTTGCCGGACGAGGTAATAGCTCTCACTTGGGCAGAATAGTTTCCACTTACTCCTACTTTCCATTTGTGCGTTAACTCTTTGCTACTGGCACACCTCTCCTTAATCTGAGAGTCCGGCTAAGAATTGAAAAAATAGGACAAAGAAACAAAAAGCTTTTTCTTGGCACTTTGAATGTAGAAAATAGTGCAGGAGGGGGCTTGATTCGCCCACCGAATTGTCGTCCAACCTCACGCCACTCTCTCGATCAATCAGAAGCAAAAATTAATCCATTCAGGCCTTATTTACTGGCGTTTTCCCGCGCTTTAAGCAGTTAACATTTCTACCTCTATGGGATCCTCGTGGTTTTTAACTCAGTTACAACCGGCCTGTGTGTGTATCAATCTATCTGTAGTCTACAGCTTCAATTGGTTGACTAATTTACAAATCAAAATTCAATTGATTAGTTTGATTCCTAATTTATCTGTTCATCTATTATTTCACCAAAAACACGCCCACTTCTACGAGTCATACCTCTGTTAACTTTATATCATATTTGAGCACCACTCCATTTGGATCCTTTGGGGCAAGCCATGATAGCCAAGCCTGTAACAAATAAAACCCAAGGAAAAATCTTAGTCTTTTGTCACGACCGTGTAACAAAGAAAAATATTTGAGTCTTCCACGAGAATTCGACCTCCTGACTTTGGGATTCCTCGCTCCGATGCTCAATCACTGAGCTAAAGAGGACTCTATAATGCCACCATAAGCAATGTCGACAGCCTCACGAGAGCCTCACGAGAGCCTCACGAGAGCCTCACGAGAGTCAATCGAGTCATAGAAATTCGAGGTGGCTCTTCTTGTCCACTGTTTTCAGGTCAAACTTTGGCTTCTGTAGAGGAATGAAAACCGTCAGACCCGGAGCAAGGACGATTGTCAATATCAAACTTGACCTCCATCTGAAGCCTGATCCACGAATGGAACTTAGGCCCCAGCGGTAGAAAGTGAGGGTTCTCACCACTGCACCATCACGCCATCAGCCATTTTTGTTGGAACCTGTTCGAGATTCCTCCATTTAAAGTTTTCGAAAATCACACTCAGTCCTCAACCAACTGACTTTATTATTGAACAGTAGCGTAATACCAGTTGAAAAAAAAATGGTTTCAAATTAAACAAAGTAATCTTGATAAAAAAACATGCTTACTGTTTTAGTTTCGTTGTTCATTTTTAAAAAAAAATGGTTTCAAATTAAACAAAGTAATCTTGATCAAAAAACATGCTTACTGTTTTAGTTTCGTTGTTCATTTTTAATTTGAGGGGTCCTCCAAGATCGTCGGCTGTTTCTGAAATCACGAACAAAAAAAAAAACATACTTAAACAACTTTCATATTTGAGGGGAACGTTTAAAAGCAGTCTTTTATCAGGGACAGGTCTGATCGGGTTAATGTGTTGTGTTGTTGGGAAAAACACTTTACTCTTACAGTGCCTCTCTCTACCCGGGAGTAGGAATGGGTACCAGTGAACTGTTGGGAAAGCCTGATGAAATGCTAAGGGTAACCTTGCGTTGGACTGGCATCCCATCGGGGGGAGGGGGGGTACTAATACTCTAAGTCGCTTCATGATAAGGAAACCGGGATAAACTTCCGCTGGATGGGCCACTTGGTACCCTGGCCTTTTGACTTGTTAGACTGACCAGCATCTTATCTCCTTACTATATCACCCCTGAATCACACATTAAGGTCTCGAGAACAAAGGAAATGATCACCAACTAAAGCTATTGATCGTTAAACAACTTTTCCTTGTCAGCATTAAAGGAAATGTTTGGAGAACAGTATGGAGAATATGCATTCTGATGTAAGGGTGTAAAGGATTCTAAGAGGAAACACTATGCCGCAATAACCTAAGCTTTTATTACTCACCTTTTTTGTTTGTCATTCCCTTTGTGGTAGCACAAGAAGAGTCAGTTGCACATCCAACCTTTGTACACGCACAGACCTAAACGAAAGTACCAACAGACCAAGTTCAATATTTACTATTGGTAATCTTTCAGTTAAAAGTTGAGTAATATGGTTGACTCTTTAATATTTTTGTGACAATCCACAATGAAACATTGCGTGACGCCTCAGTAGCATTTATACTTACAGTGATGGTATAGTCAGAGAAGTGCCTCAGGTTTGATAAAGGGACTCTATTAATGTTGCCATCCACGGTGAGAGAAGCATTAGGCTTGGTCGTTGGGACTGTGGGTCTCACGGAAGTTGGTTTGGCTGATGTGGAAGACAACTTGGATGATGTTGTCTTTTTACCAGATGGTGCTGATGTCGGCTGACACATGGGATTCTAAAAGTAATATACACGCTTTTTGGTTGGTTCTTACTTATAGCCTACTGGAAGATAGATGCATAGAAGACGTCACCTTCAACAGCCTTTTGCCTCTTTATTAAAACAATAAATACACTCCATGTTGCCGTGGGTCTGTACCGTAACAGATCACAGAAGATTAAGAAGAACATCACTGATACACTCCCTTGTCCTTGACACATTGGAGGTGTTTTGTGTTCTATTGCTTCTGGCGCCTCTCATTCGCGTGTGGTGCTCAAGCTAGTTTACCTCAACAGTCCAAAATTACACTATCACTGCTCAATCACACATTAAGGTCAAGATAATAAAGGAAATGATTCCCAACCAAAAATCCCTTGATTATTAGACAAGTTCTCCGTGTCAGCACCATAGGATATGTACAAAGGACAGTAATAAGAATATGCGTACCGATGTTACGGTGTAAAGGGTCAAGGATCTAACCTGGGAATCATTCCTGCAGTTCGTATGGTTTAAGCCTGTGGCAGGCGTGGTCGTCGCTATCACAGTTTTGTTTGTTGGAGGTTCGTTGTCATCTTCCTCTTTCGTGAAAAGTGTCTTGTACAAGAGGTCTTGAAACTCCTTGGCGAATAAAGCTGATTGTTTTTCTGGTTTCAATTTTTCTTTCTCCTCATCGTCACAGTTACAAGTTAAATTTGTGACGCAGTTTCCTGAAAAATTTAAGATGTCAATGGAAATGAATCAAATGTTTAAGCAAACAATAATGTCAAGGAATTTCGGCTTACGCGCCAATGAATTTCTTGTCTACGAATACGGTTGTCATGCAGTAGAGTGTGCTTGTCTTTTTGCATTAATAAATGTCATTTGCGTGAAAATGAATATACATTTTCAACCAATGCATGTCTGAAGGAGCTTTAGTTTATGTGATGCTGTTGAATGTCATTTGAAATGTAAATGTACTTAGTGAACGCTTCTTTCGTGCAATGGTAGCTCGTGTTCTTCTAAATGCGAGTATATTCCTCTTGACTAAATTTTGACACAAATGAACTGATAATTTGTGTAAATAAACAGCAAAAGGTGTAATTACCCACAACTGACAAAAGTTAAGTGTCGCTAATCCAGCTGCAAGAGATGCACGTCCAATGCAAGTAAAATTACAGAATTTCTTTCGATCATCCTGACTATTAGGTTACATCTGGTCACACCCAATCAACTCGCGGGTATAGAATGCGAACAAAAGGGGTAAGTTTCTGAAGATACTGTGCCGCTACGTCGGTGGGAGTAACGAGCTAATTTTGGTTTTGTCAAATGCTCTGACGAGGGGCTAACGCTCGGAACGTCAGATTTGAAACTCGTTACGGTGGCGAATTTACTTTATCGACTCAGTTGATAAATCCAAAATTATAGAATACGAAGTCTAACTAAACAGCAAATTGCAATTACTCAGTCCCTAGCCCTATGCACAAGCCACGACTTATTTTAGCTAATTTTGGTATCATTCAAACTCACCATGAGGAGTGTTATCTGTGCTCCCCTCTCCATTGTTATCGCCTCCAAGTCCGTTACCGAACACCTGTCGACTGCACCAATCTAAATTGGCATTCCAGGCAGAGTATGTACTTATTTCGTAAGTCACGATGTACTTGGTTATGTTCCCATTTGGAAACAACGGAGGTTCCCACGTAACAAGTAATGCAGAAGAGCTGATGTAGTTCGCCTCAAGACCGACCGGCTGGGAAGGCTCTGAAAGGACAATTCAAAGGTTCTTCAAAAATTTGTCCAAAGACGCTTTGTGTTTCACCCTCCAATGAATTCATTACCCCACCCCCTCCCTTCTCCTCTCTTTTGACCGTCGCTCATTCCCTTAGTACAAATTTCTCTCTCTTTCCCGCCTTTCCCTGCTGTAAAAATCATCGATTAAAGCAGCTGTAATTTTCTCCAAGATAATACTAAGCACTCGCCGGCCAAAATTACACCTGCTCTGCAGACTGATAGGGGAGGGGTTGGTGCACAATTGCACCTGCTCTGCAGACTGATATGGGAGGGGTTGGTGCATAATTGCTCAGATACGGACATTGTGGCTAAATGTCTTTACTTACTGCTCTCATTTGTCATAACAAAAGCCAAGTCACTCTTGGCGCCTTCGTTTTTCAGTACAACAGCCTCAACTTGAAAGGCATACAGTTGAAACGGCTTCAGCTTTACAAAGTACTTTGTAATCTTCCGAAGTTTTGGTGCCAAGCCTCTCACATTAGAAACATTTACTCTGCAAACATCGTGACAACATGAATTGTGAATATGAAAGCAATCTTCGCAGTAATGAAAATTAGGCCTGAAAAAAATTCAGGCCTGTACGGTATTTGAACCCATGACCTCTGCGATACCGGTGTAGTGTTCTACCAGCTAAGCTAACAAGCCAACTGGGAGCTGGTCATTATGTTGGTTCGTAATAAACGTAATAATAGTACGAACCAACATAATGATCAGCTCCCAGTTGGCTTATTCAGGACGCATTTCGGTAAGTGTTGCGTAACCAAAACTAAAATTATTACAACATCCAATCAGAAGAAAGGAATGTATCACAAGGGGCCGATGAAAACTCAAGGGAAAAACAACCAACTACCTAAAAGCGCGGGAAAACGCGGACGACCAACTCTTGATTGGTTGTAGTTTTGAATCTGATTGGTTGAGAAAGTGGCGCAAGTTTTCTGGACCAATCAGACAGCGTTTTACAGCGAGGCCCACGCGATCCCGGGTTACTTTTGGCACCTAGATGAAAACTTCTCTTATCAAATCAAAATAAAATAACAATAAACTGAGCTTACTCTGGGGGCGAAACTGTATGATCCTCTCGTGTCCAACTGTGTAAATGAGATTGAAAAAACATTTTAAACAAATTCTTACATTACAATGAAAAATCGTTGGTGATCAGTTGATCCGCGTGGGCAAACTTAAAATTGCAAGGAGATTCTCTGTGTTTAGTGGTAAATTTAGAAATCTACAGGTGCGCTTGCTTTTTTTTCCAAAAGAAATTGCAGAATAAGCTGTGTCATAACCAAGAGTTTACCAATCCAAAGTGATAGATAACAACTATCTACCGAAAACTGTTACATTAACATGTCGGGGTACAGAACATTCCACTGATCTTTCGGAATACACGAATATTGCAAATGACGAATAAGTTCCTGTAAAACTGGTTCATTATGGGAAGGGGGGTACTTCCTACTGATAAGCTGATGGAGATGTGACACTGAATGGGGTAACATTTTTCACAACTGGACTGATTACAATGAGGTTGCATTTTCAACAGTTACTAGATACGGGGTAACCCTTTTTTGGATTTTGGAGTTAAGAAATTCTGGTAAACAAGAATTTTAAAATTGGACGATACGCAGTTAATAAGTTGTTACCGTTTTACCAAAAGCGCCTATAAGTTGGGTTCTATAATTGGCCACAGCATAGACTATAATGGGGTAGGGGTTCTGAGAGGCCGACGGCACATACCCAGCAAAAATTGACCCAAATGTTCCCCTTCCTGTTCCTTACCAGTAGAACTGAATCACATGCCACGCGTGTTCAGGAATGAGATCATTAAACTTTCCCCAACCCTAACAACAAGATTGCGCTACAGAAAAACAAACAAACAAACAAACAATAGCTGTTTCTGCTGTGATCAGTAGTCTCTGACGTACCATTCTTTGTACCAATTGCCCGAGATGCTGGTCTACTGGGAGAAAAGAGGAGAAGCAAATCTGACTTACATGTCTCCGCTATCGCTGCTACAAGCATCCACATCTGTATATTCCGTGATTTGTCTGTTTGGGCTAAAGGATTTAATAGACATCATTAAGTAAGTTTCATTTAACCCTATAACCCCTCAGAGTAATCACAATCCACTTTCTCTTTACAGCATCACTGCTGAATCAACCATTAAAGTTACGCGAATAAAAGAAATGATCACCACCTTAAGAAGCTCTTAATTGTTGAACAAATTTGCAAAATTCACTCACCCACCCTCCCCCTTATTTTTTCAATGTCGCTCACCCCCTTCCGCTCCCATTAAAATCAAAGATGGCGGCCAAAATTTTCACTTAGGAAATACTGAGTACTCGCTCGTCAAAATAACACCTGCTCCGCAGGCTATCATTGTCAACACCGTAAGATATGTATAAACAAAAGCATGGAAAAATACGCAAACTGATATTAGGGACTTAAGAGTTAGATACGAGATTGACTAATGAAGCTGCCAGAACTTATCCATGTAGCATAAAGTAACATAAGCCAATAAGCCTGGCAGTTCCGTGCGCAATGGAAGTGTTAAGGTACAGAGCAGCAAATACGTCCCGTAAAGCGAAACTGAGAACTTGGCCTACTTCTATCTCTTATTTGTGTTCTATTGTCAAGCTTATTAAAAGCCTTGAATGATAGCTCTGAGAATTTGATGTTAAATCGAACGACATCCTTGGTTGACCTTTTCCTTTCCCTCTTCATTTTCATCCCGTTTCTGAGAGAAAATTAGCTCATATCACGAAAAGCATACCAGAAAGCCCTCATTAGTTCTCCTTAATAGCGCTTTGGCACAAGCGTTTCTTAGCCTACGTTTCTTAGCCTGCGTTTCTTCGCCTGTACAAGGCTTGGAGCTACACGAGCGGGCGAGAGGTCTTTAGGGGGTCTGGAACTGACACTGACCCCCTGCAAATCTCTTCCCGACTTCCGCGTCCCCTTCAGGCCTGCTCGCAGGGCTATCCGAAGAGGGAAATCTTTTTTGGACACTCCTAGCAGCCAAGTAGCTAATCATTAGATGATTCTGGAAAATGTAGAACAAAACATAATACAAAAGACTACAGTACAAAATCAAGACAAGAACTTACGCTTCTCTGTATGATACAGTGTAAAACAAAACATTTCTGTAATCACCGTCGATAATAGCCTCGTCCCATTCCACTTTTACACAAACTTGGTTACACCTCATACGTCCAGGAGGGCGTTTAATTTCTTCTAACGTCACATTTATCTTACGAACATTACCTGCAGGTGAAAAAATTAAATGGTATCAAAACTGTAGGGGCCCGCTTCAATTCACATGAGACATTCTACAAACTAAGTGACCAACCAGTCAGTACAACCAAATTATCATGAGCCACACACAAGGCATTTCAACCTTCACTCAGGAGGCCCAGGGCCCCTTATACTAGCTGTTTTAAATGCTTACATGCTACAGCGTTTCCATTGGTAGTGTCTGAGATGTCAAGAACTCTTTTACTGTCATTTCTATTCCACTTCAGAATATCATCGATCAGTGGATTAACCTTGCTTGGACATAGGTACGGATTTAAGTGCACCATGATTCCTCCTTCACTGATTGTTAGATTCTGTTGAAATGGCCACAATGCCTCCAGCTTAGGGTTATCACGGATGGCCAAGGCATACCTGTAGGAAAAAATGATGCAAACCATCAGTGATTAACTTAAGTCCATACCATATAGAGCTGTTTTTATGCACAAGTTGTTGCCACTGCTGGTGTCAACCACTTATACCCTAACGTCAGTAAAAATAGACCTATTCTTCTTAGTGTTCTCTACACATTTCCTACGCTAAAAACAAGAAGAATCTCTTTAATAATCAAGAGCTTGGTTGACAATTATTTTCTTGACTCTCGTGACCTCTTGAGTTAAAGTGGGGCTCACCTTAGATTCTCAAATTGGTACCTCCTTAAATAAGCCCCTGTAGAAAGAGTGCCTCTTCTACCCACCAAACTCTAAAATAAGCACTCTGAATAAGGGCCTTCCTGCACCACTCTCTACTTTTAAATAACAGCGATCACAATTGCCAAACTAGAAATGTGCCTTTCCACATTAATTCTGTACCATATATAACTCAGATTGAGATATCAATTAAACAACGACCAGAAAAAGGCAAACTTCTTCTAAACATTAAAATAATGTAAGCTCCATAGGTGCTAATTGATTAACCATAAAAAATCCCTGTCACTAGTTCTCACTATATACACACCTCTCATTGTATAAATCTGCCATCCTTACAAAGGGTTGCCTTAGAAAAGAAAATTTTGTTTTGGGACGAATTTCCTGAAGATTCTTCAAAAAGTTCAAAGATGTTAGAGATGCCGACTCTCTGATCACAATGTAGCCATTCACTTTTTCAATTTGCCCCAAATTCTCCTCCAGCTGAGTTCCAATACCTAGGAAGTTAAGAAAGGTTCCTGTTGGAAAAATTTTAACTTCCTACATGTGATTAACAAGCACATTAAGTAAATGTTTATTGCACTTTGTATGAATACAAAATCAAGCAAAAAATAATGAGAAAACACAAAGTTGAACTTATGTAGTTATTCAAATCCTCATAACTTTTGAAGAGTCAAAAACGTACAGAAGTTTTTGCATGCGTTTGCCTATAAAGGTCTAGACTTAACAGCTGCGTAGGATAGAGTTGTCAATCAGGTCCCCAATCCCAAAACTTTATGTCTAAACCAAGGTTATTTATGGCCATTGGCCGATGGCAAACTATAGGGGTCAGAATATGTCAAAATTTGCGTTTTCAAATATATTGAGAGGGAATTCGAACTTTCTTGGTAAACTAGAAAGGTTGTTAAGCAACCTGATATAATTTTGTGGCCTAACTATGCGAATCAAACATATTACAAAGTTACATAATCATCCTCAGAGACCCAGGGGCTGTGTCCATTTCAAGTTAGGGCATCAAGAGCCCCTGGGGACATTGTCTTACAAGACTAGTTCCAAACGGTCGCAGTCGTTCTGCCATCTGATTGGTGCCAGAAAATCTTTGTGTTTTTCTGCCCAATCAGAGGGAAGTGTGCTTTAGAGTCCTTTTGTGTGTTTTAACACGGACATATACTAGTAGCTCAGTTGCTCGCTATGTTTGTTTGGACCAT